GGTGTGTCAGTGTTTCTTTAACCTCAACGTCCTTTACTGGTTTTTAATTTGCACCGAACCTGAGCGCACTGAACGTAGTAACTTAATAAAACTTTTCTTTTCTCGAATTTAGCCGCCTCGGTGGCTCCGAGGCGAGAGTGTCGGCCTCCGGATCCCCATGTGGCGGGTTCGAATCCCGGCCGAGGTGCCCGCAATCTGACGGAGGCTTGTTGCGGAGAAGGCGCCGTGTAACCGAGCTTTCGGTTGCACATCAAAAGATCCCCAGGTGGTCGAAATTAATCCTCAGTCCTCCGCTGTGCGTGCCAGATTCCCGTCGTTGGTTTGGCACGTAAAACCCCCAAATTTGACTTTGACTTTTCTCGAATTTCGCTTTATTTCTAAAGTTATAGGCAAATTCAAATTACAAGAACAAGCAAAATAACCTTCATGACGTCCTTGGTCGTGGCTTGAGTGGCTGTGAATTAGAGAAAGGGTAGTGAGCTCAGCGAGCGCTCACGGCTGCCTCACTTTGTGTGAACGGCTCGAGAGGGCGCCACTAAAGCATGTGCTGGATAGGCTGCATGAAGCGGGCGGCCAGGGCGGCTGGCATTGCATTTGCTGCGCGATTAAACACTAATTTTTTATGACACTTCATTGGCCACAAACGAGAGCAAACACGGGGTAAAGATCAGTTCAGAACGGGAACCACTTTATGCTGCCATAACGCCAAACGACCAAACCTCACCGAAGGCCTTCGGAACGCTCGGAACCAGTCGGATACTCGAGCCCGTATAGGCTCCTTGCACTGACGTCACATCGCACACTTTTGAACACCAACTAAGAGGAGGAGAGGGAAGCTGCTTTTGTAAGAATTTTGAGGGACAGGTTAATCTTCTGTAATCTTCTGGGGGGAGAATAGCGACGCCTGTACAAATCCGGGAGGTACAAAGGAGGGTCCTGATAAGAGGGGAGCTCCTTCTTTCCCTCTTCTTTGGAGGGCAACGGAAATGACGTCCTATGCAACGGTCGCGTACACCGCTCGTCGGTGTATGATCCCACTACCCCTTTCTAGTATGCACAGTCTTTTCCACCGCTTGGTGGCGGGTATGTCGACGGGTCATTTCCTGCATTTGTTTCTTTTCTGATCTAAAATACTGAATAAAAACAACTTATATTTTGTAGTTCGACTAAAAACAAGCTTTTAGCGGCTTTGACCAGTAGTAAGGCCAGGACCAAAGACTTCACATATCGTACGCTTTCGGCACCGCGGGTCGCCTCCGTAGGGGGAGGAGATTTCTGCGTCGACCGGTTAAAATATTACGCACTGATATTTAGTTACTCTTACGTGACCGCTGGCTTGCCCGAACCCCAAGAGACGTGGAAACCGCAAAAGAGGTGGGCGCTTAAATATGACTCCAGGGCCCCTTTAAGGGAATGCTCATGTGACCAACGTCAGTGATGGTGCATGCAGCAAGCCACTTTAAAAGGGCAATGCAACGACTTTTTGCAGTTTTTTTTTTTTTTTTTTAATTTGCACCGACCCTGAGCATACTGAACGTAGTAATTTAGTGAGTTTTTTTCGAAATTCGCTTTATTCTAAAAGTCACAGGCATATTAAAATTACAAAAACAAGCAAAAACCTCCTTCATAGCGTCCTTTGTCCTCTGTCCCGTCTTTCCTCGCGGACCGCGGTGACCGAGGAATCTGGGGAGGGAGGGGAAGACGGGGAAAGTAAGTGAGGCCGAGGAGAGAAGCTGCCCGGCAACGGGGCAGCTCTCTCCTCGGCTGATCAGGACCAACAACGTCACGATTTCGTCACCTGCCGCGTGCGTTCAACACCACGGGGCGCCCCGATAGGAGGAGGAGGAGGTTTCCGCGTCGTCGGGTTAAAATATAACGCACTGATATTGTCACGAATGACGAGGTGACAAACAAGAAATAAACTGAGAAAACTGAAACATTTAATGGAACTGAAACATTTAAAGGGATACTTCAACGAATTTTGAAATATTCCCGCCGTGTTCAAAAATAGGTTGAATAGGATCGACAATATCCGTAAATGACAATCGCACATTTGTATTTTGAGCCTGGTGGCTGCATTTTTCGTTATAAACGGCCCACTCTGGCAAGCGCTCGGAGAAGGCCCAGCAGAGACCACGTGACATCCAACGCAATCGTGACGTAGGTCGTCTTAAGACGAGCAAAGCTACGGTGAGGTTGACGTCGAGAGGATGGCCTGTCCTTCCAGCCACCCAAGCGGCTGCTTTTGTACGAATTTTGAGTGACGGGTTAATCTTTTGTAATCTTGTAGGGGGACAATAGCGACTTCTGCGGCACACAAAAGGCATTCTCGGGAAGAGGGGAGTTCCTCCTGCCCCTCTTCTCTCGTCGTGGCCGGAGACGAGACACTAACCGTCACTAGCTGTCAAGGTTCCTAGATGGGCATTACAAGCGAGGCGTTAGCGACATCCACCAGGTGCTCTTTGCTAATCGTTTAATTCGTTTTAAAATTCCTTTTCGACTTTTTTAACAAGATATTGGTATGTTCGATGTGATGCTGCTTTTTTGAACACATATAGACCAAAAAATGAGCGCCGAAATTTCGTTGTAGTATCCCTTTAATGGGGCGAACTTGTGCCCAAAACAAAAAGGAAACAGAAGATAACAGCAGAGCATCGCGTTCGTCGAAGTCGACGTAACAGCAGGATCGAACGCTGGGGCGAGACTGACTTCGGCTTGCCACGCGGAGCACCTTTTGTACCGGCGTGGGTTTCTGGAACAATGTTTAGTTACTCTCTCCGTGCCCGCTGTGTTGCCCGAACCACAAGACGTGGAAACCGCAAAAAAGGTAGACGCTTAAATAGGATTTCAGGGCCTTTTTAACAACAAATACTGACTATATACACGAGCTGCGGAGAAACAAGTACACGTCAGCGAAGTGGATTTTTTCCTCAACTGAACATGGCAAGAGCGCCTGCGATGGAATCGGGGGTCACCGCCCGGCACAAATGCACGCGACAAGCGCCGAATGTGCGCACAGGATGTTGATTCAATCAACTCGTTTCAATTGTACCACTTTAAACATGTCTTTCTAATCACTATTTAAACCTGGTCGTCAGCAGCCCAGCCTCCCTACGAAGGGTAGGCTCCGAAATTCACCGATCCGAGAAATCTGCATTTGAATTGTTGGCTTGTGCTTCAAACTCACCACTAATCTTTTGTAGGAATTCTTATTTTTCGCGAACTCCAGTCACAGTACTTTCTCTCCAGACTTCCTACTTTTTTCGACCACTTTCTTGCCCGTTTGAAATCGGCCAACGTCCTTTCTTTCCCTACTCCCGTTACTGCAACTCTGCATATTTAGCGCTCTGCAAATTCAAAAATATTGCAAAGCATTTTTGAAGAGGCTGATAGGACAGATTATGAGCCTTGATGCGGGAAAAATAGAAGAAAAATTATGGCCGTCATTTTACTTATTTTCCACTTATAAAATCGGTAACCTGTCTACATTTCAGTATTTAAAAAAAAAAAAAGATTATTGTTTTCAATTTTAATGAAAATTTACGCGAATATTGAACAAACGCGTACAAAGCGTGTTAAAAAATTTGAATTTCCAGTCTTTTAAGATCTGGATCCAAAAGACTTTGCCGATTGTACACAATACCCGGCCCAACACTGTCCAGCGCTCGTGTAAAGTCTGCTCTGCGCCGACCTTCCATAGGCGACATCGAAAATCCAATACACTCCCCACTTGTGTAGGTGTTTGTCCCACCTGGGAATGTCAACTTGTGAACAGCTCTCTTAATCGGCGTGAAATTTGCAGGGCGGTGTTTGTAGGAATACAGGAGGAGGACATGCAAAGTTCCAGCCCTGCGAACCAATTTGATGAGGTACTATACCCCCAGAACGAAGGATACGTTCAGGCATAACGTGGTAGATCACGTTTAAAAGACACAAAATCGTGCTGCAAGATTTGTGACGGGTACATTGAATAGGCCTTGTTAGGTGCCGAGCAGATGACTTGCACGTTTTGCCGGTTCGCTATCTTTTTTAACTTATGGGTAACCCCGTGAATATATGGTATTACTACAAAGGGTGGTCTGGGGTTTTTTTTTGTTTGTTGACTCGTAGCATTATTCGTCTTGATGGTGCGACATCAGGATTTCAGAGGAAAAAAAAAAACAAGAAAACTAAATTTCATTGGAGAACTGATGTTTTCAAATGTTCTTTTTTTGCTAAGTGACATTGTCGGAACAAGGTTGTCAAAGCTGTTTTTTTTTTTTTTTTTTTTTTTAGATTCAAGGATATGTCTAATTAGCGTTGTGTATTACTTATTGTATTGTTTTACTTTTGTGTTTTTAGTGTACAATGTTCATTCTGTGCCCCCCCCCCCCCCCCTTACTATGATGCGTCTTTAGGCAATGTAGGTATTCAAATAAATAAATAAAGCATAGCTCGGCATGGAATCTGCTGAATGAATCTATCAAAGAGAAATGGTGTTGATAAATGCATTTTTCTGGTAGAATGCATACTGGAATACCAGTTGTCAGTTACTATAAAAATATATTCCACAAAATATGCATTTTCAAAGGAAAAAAAAATATATATATTTTTTTTTTTACGTTTTGCAAAAATACAATGTTTCATAGTAAAAGAACATGAAAATGCAAAATATAAGTTCACAGCAATTGGCTCAATAAAATTTCGGTATATAAGCCACAAAAAGTTTCAAACTGAAACGATAGGTTTATTGAGTGAAATTTATGCCAAAAAGTGGAACACGGAAAAACGTGTTCAAAGTGCTCGAAGCTCTACCTTTTCTTTAGCATTGGTGGACTGAAAGTAATTTATAAAAAGAAAATAACTATGGAGTGTAAACGAATGAAACTGTCTGGGAATATTCTCTAGATGTTGGCAAAATGAACTTTTTTTGCAGACATTTTTTGTTTCTTCTGGGTTCTTTTTTAAAACAACCATACAACTTGGGCACCAAAACCGTGCGACGACAACAAGACCACAACTGGAGAAAGCTCGTAATTTATTATCAACTATAATTATCTTACACGTTGTCTTCCAGGCCAGCCCAGCTGAACTTGCTAGAACAAAGGGGAAGCTATATATATATATATAAAAAATCTTCGACAAAATCCCACAGCTTTCGAAGGGAACGCTGTTGGACCCTTCGAAATAAATATTACTCCGCTCGTCCAACACGGAACGGGCAGCTTCACATGGTTACTCTTTTACGAGGCCTTTCTCAGCCCAGCACACACTCACACACACACACCATCAAACCTCATCACATCAACAACAAAGCAGTTACTTTCGTGAGCACTTTGTTTCGCTTCAATGGCATTGCAGAGAGAAAGTCAAGGCGAAAGCAATCGAAACAAAAAGGGGTAGGCCGTAAGGGACCATGAAATGATGACGTTGGGTTTGAATTCTACTAATTGTGCATTGCATGGTTGGGCAATAGAGAATTAGTCCACAGACACAATGTTTCCCTTGAAATTTTGAAAATGTGCTTGGACTCCAAGTCCACGACTGTGGTAAGCACTGAACCACTTCAGGGGCATTGAAGAGCTTGAGGAGCGCTGCAGCGCTTCAGGGGGAATAATCTGTCACAAGATACGAGACTGCTTGTCTCGCGGGCGAACTAGTTCCTGCTCGAGTTCCATGAACATTCGGAATATTTATAGGTTACTAATAGCGAAAGCTACAAATATAATTTCATGGTCCCTTTCAGGAAGCCAACGAGGATTATTACACTCATAATGGGCGACACGTGGCCCAGAACAAACGAAGAAGCGAAGCTTAAATTAAACAGACGTTCTCGCTGAGGCAGTTTTTTCGGGTTACTTCTTTGCCTGCAAAAGAACGCGAGCAAACAAACACTCGTTTGTGCTCGACCGCTAACCAAACTGAGCAGACAAATGACGAGTTTGTACCACAACTGAAAACTGGCAAGGGAAGTGCCACACAACCTTAGTGACAAAAACGGGGTAAAAAGCAATAAAAACACAAAACCACGGGAGTCTTTGAGACAGAATTCCTTAGGGGGGTCGGAGACTATAGTCGGCAACAACTCAAGAAGGTAAGGCGAGGAAAAAGAAGGTGGGAGAGGAGCAAATGGACGCAATGCTGGCAAGGAGAGGAGGAAAGCTCCCCTCGCCAGCGTTAGAGGTCTGCTTCCTCCTCTCCCACTTTCCTTTCCCTCGACCGACCTTCTTAACCTGCAACATACTATAGCGTAGCCGCTAAGCGTGCAGTCATTTCAGGTGGCAGAGTTAGTGCAGCACGCCGCTCTAATTGCCACGCAAGTCAATGCAGCGATGACCTATTAAGAGTTCGATAAAAAGACTGTGAATCAATTAATCAATCATTTCAGTAGCTGGTGCAGGTGCGGTGCAAACCAGACAAATGTGACATAAACCTACATGTATCCCCGTGCATCGTTCTAATTAATGTGTCAACTGCGGGCTGACGCACGTACCACACCTCTGCTTTTACACTTTTGGGAGAGGAGAAATGCAACGATTTTCTGCTTGGCAGAAAATGTTAGTGTTGTCAAAAAACTTGATAAAGAATTATACACATAAGACAGAACACGAACAACGTAGCTTTCGAAAGACATGCTGTCCGCATTCTGTCCTTCGATGCATACTTCTTTTTTAGGTTTTTACAGAAAATGTATGTCGGGGTTTTCAACGCATGAAAACAGCTGCAGGTCTCAGGTTGGGTTCCCCGCCAACGTTTGTTGTAATACTTTGGTTTACCACAAGTCTGAGCGTAGTCAGAGGCTAGAAGACAAACAAGCACAGACAAAGTGCCAAGTCATGGAATATGCCTGCACTTCATTGGTCTAGCCGGTCATAACCCACACAACAAAAGATGACGAGCGCCGCAATGTTGTTCTTTTTGCACTGTATGGTTGGCGCTATCGGCTCGAGCAACAGTCACACTCCGAATTGTGGTAAACTAGACTTCCTTTCCAGCTTTTTTTTTTCTTTTTTTTTCACGGGCCCACTTTTGCACTAGCTCATGGCAGTCGAACTTATAAAAATAGGCGGCGGCCACATTATTGCAAAGCACAGGCATGACAGCGTGCCGACCTGCAAATTTTCGGACTTTGTCGGAAGAAGCTACGAACCGTCGTCGCAAAGTGGTGCTCGCAAAAGCGGGAGGCGAAAGCTCAAATCTTCGAAAGAGGACTGTCTCTCCCCCGTACGGAACTACTTCCCAATTCTCCCTGAAACCCGGGCTTCCTCGTTTGAAAACAGAATCTTGCACTTCAACACTCGGTGCCTGTGGGCACATTCAAATTCTCGACGGTCAGGTTCTTTTTTTCTTCTGGAGAACTCAGGTGCACGGTACAACAAAGTAGCCCCTGTAGACGAATCTCTCGTGCCGGCATCCAATGCTCACAACAAAGCTTTGACGAAGGAACTCCTGCGAGAGTGCAGCAACGGCCACTTTGAGTGGGCATGTCAACGAAGCAGTCTTATACCCCTGTTACACAGGCAGTTTCAAGGATCATCGAGCCAACGACTATTGACTCAATCGCAATCAAGCGGTGTCACACGGCAGCGCCAACTGCCATCAAGCCACTAACGACCATGGAGTTTAACTTGAGCTGGCCTACCTCATAATCTGATGGGGGTTCACCCCGAAGAGCTAAAGATGGCGGCGTCCGCCGCACTGCGACCGATGGCCAGCACCAGCGGAGCACTTACTACTGCGGAAGATTGGGGGACGTATCTAGAAAGCATTCTATCAGCAAATATTGTTAGAATTGGTACGATTCGGTGCCAGAGCTGCCGCTAAAACGATCTTGGCATGTCGGCGAGCTCGGTCATTCTTATGTCGGTGCCGATAAAGACTTTCGTTATATCCCTCTTGCTTGAATTTGTGCGAAACGTTCATATTATCGCTTTTTTACTCTAAAAATAAAGAACATTTTATTTTGTGTTAGTCTACTATGAGTGAAAAGTGTGTATATAATCTATGTGCATCGCTTTTTAAAATAAGGTAATCAACTGCGATCAAAAGTTGGGGTTCCTATGTACCGTGTAACACCGGACAACTTTGTTGAGCTCAGCGATTGTTGGAAGATGCCACGATCGTTGGCTCAGTGACCCTCGAAACGGCCCTTGTAACAGAAGGGTGGGCGAATAGAGTGGCGGGTCGCCTGTGCGACCCGCCACTATATTCGCCGACAGAGTTAGAACGGCAGGGGTTGTCCTTCAAGTTACCTCGTTTCGGTGTCTCAAGCGTGCACACACGGCCAACGAGCAGCAGAAGGCGATGAGTGCTTGCTGGGGGCCGGGCGTCAGAAAGAGACGCCTTACCGTTCCCGTCTTTTACGACATCTTCAGGTGAAAGTGACAAACGAGAGTCAAGTGTTTCCTGTCTCTCTGATACAAAATGGCCGCTGTTCCATCTTCCGTTTTAGGTAAAAACAAACTGGAGTCTCCTCGCTATGACTGGCCGACTTCCACAAAAGGACACGCTTCCAAGAGAAAACTGCATGCATCGCAACAAATGTTACAAAACAAAAATTGCAAGTTTTTTACGGCAAATAAAAATAAATGGACTACTTACAAAACCTCTTTCACAGTTCACTGCAGAATGCTGGAATGGTTCGAGCTATTGCACCAGGGATTTTTGAGCTGTCTGGGGTGCATCTTTATACCGAGCACAAACAAAAGCGAGGGAAAGCCCGGTTTGTTTCATATTCCTGTTTGTTTTGTTGCTGTTGTTTTCCCATAATTTTCATACTTTTGTACGTAAAGATTGAGGGTGTGTACTCTATATTTTGTTTTTCAAGCCATGCTTTTGGAGTGAACGATTAATTTCACTGCTTGCAGATAGTATTTATATAACCAAAACTAATTATTTCGGACCTAAAATTGCCTGTGGGGCTGCTTTTGTTAAAACGGAGCTTCGGTCAATTATCTGTAACAACGAGTAAGGGGGCATTTTCTTACATTCAATCAAAACTTTTAAACAAGAAAGATTTGGCTCAAGAGATTAACCGAGTCAGAAGGCCATCATTGTGCCCATTATTGTTTTTGGAGACACTCAAGGCTCGTTCACACACTTGCAGTTGAGTAGGACCAGCTGAGGCGAAACTGGTTTTTAAGCCTCTTGCGACGGCTTAGGACCTGCCCCGCAGCAGCGCATCTGGTCTTACGCCGTCACAAGAGGCTTAAAAACCAGCCTGTCTCACTCGGTCATACTCGGTTGCAAGTGTGTGAACGGGCCTTCACGCAATCGCACATCTTGTACCACACTTTCAAGCTTTTCACTTCGACAACCCAAAGAGGCCAGAGCACAGCAACCTCGCAACATGTCGCGAGGGATCCTGTAAATTTTCAATTAGACAGATTTTTCTTTTTTACAAACAAAAAAATATTGCAAAGAAGAAAACAAACAAGAGGACAAACTTTCGACAGACTGAGCTCGCAGCCATCTTCACGCGGTCGGGGTCCCTTGCCCTTAGCAGACAGCAGCCGGCCTTCAGCAGACGACGCCCAACTTTCAGCAAACAGCCGCCAGCTTTTTATAGCAGGCGACGCTGAGCTTTAGCAGACGACCGCTGTTGCACCTTTGCTTGGAAGTCTTGGAAAACGAGGGTCACCTCTGTTTAGAAGGAGGCACCCCTCGCATTGTGGCACTGCTACCGTTGGCGGCCACCGTCAGACGATGCGCATGCCGGCCATGGAGGACTGCAACGACTGCGGAGACGAAATGATGCACAAATCATTGTTGTGGAGCATCAAGAGCTTGTGGACGCTCAAAGGGATTTTGAGATAGTGTTTTTGCGATGCAACCTCTACGTGCAAGCCCTATGCATCTTAGAAAACCAAAAATTACAATCATGTATGGGCTTTTTTCTTTATTATAGATGCTACCTAGAATCGCGATATGCCTCTCTGCCCTTCCAAGAAACAAAAGCATCTAAGACAAGCACAAAAACAAGAAGTGTTCCTAGGATTCATAAAAGAAAGTTTTGGCACTCTAAGCTTTTAGTATAATCCCCCCACAAAAAGTTAGACCATACAACTTTTAATTTTATAAGACCAAAAATGTTCCTATGTTTTTTGGCAGTCAACAATGTATGTAGCGAAACTTATTAAACCATTTGGGCATGGTTAGAGATATCAGTGATGTGATTGGCCTAAGCCATTTTGGAGCACCTTTCGGAGCAGCCAAAACAGTGTTTTGGAACAGCAAAAGTCGCCTTTGGAGCAGCAAAAGTGGCTTTTGGAGCAGATATTCTTAGAAAAATAAAAATATTTGTTTTAAGTGCTGGACAAATGAAGGGCACTTTGCTCGCCGCAGTAAACAAATTATGGTCAAATTAGACCACCTGGGAGTCTTTTAACATGTAACTGAAATGCCAATGACATGCCACATTTTGCAGTGCTTCAGATGATACATATACCTATATGTACCCGCTATAGATAAATAAGGACCAAACTGCACATATTAAAATTTATTTGAAAATGACCAGCTTAGTAGTAAATATCACAGCATTAGGTTGATTAGTAATATAATAAATGGAAGCAGTCTCCAACTGATGAAACACGGTACTACTGCAGTGCAATGTGAAATTGTACTCAAGACAAAGGTGCATTACGACTAGCGGGTGCTTTTATTTTTGCATTTCGAAACTGTCTCCAAGGCTGCTGCAAGCCTCACTTTTTGCCTTCGGCTAGTAATTAATGAATGTCTACTTCCAATATCTCCAAAGAGACATTGAGTCATCTCACAAGTGTACAGTGCTGTAGGCGTTACCGAGCAATTAAAAAAAAACGCTTACCACCGTTTTACTGGTTCCCGACTTGGCAGACTTTTGTCAAAAGTAAGCAAACGTAAAACAATGGATTGCAAGCATCCCAGCTGGTGCCTCTGTCGGGCAATCATGTTCGCATGCACATGAGGGCAACTTCAGCAGGCTTGTAGTTGCACATGCTTTATCGCGCAAGCGAAGATTGCTGTTCGATCGAAACCGAAACCATGCCACACCGCTCCGTCGCCAACTGGTTCCCAAAATTGTATGCAAAATATAACTGCCCAGCATACGACAAAAAGCAGTCCAGCGGCACGTGCCTGCCAGGCCGGCAGGCAAGATACAAGCTAAACACAGAAGAAAAAAAAAACCTGAGCGCATCGATGCAAGACATAGCGAGCCAGGGTCAAAAAAAGTTTGAGTGCTTTGTACAACGACTGAACTCGAGATAAACAAGCGTGCTGCGTGGGTTCAGCGTGCGGACATAGCCTTTTTTGCTTTAGCTCACTTCTCTTCACCACTTTCTCACGTACTGGGTTCCCTCTCGAATGAAAGCCTACCGAGAGAAACCTAGGTTATCAATACTTCGACACGGTAGTCTTTGAGTTGAAGAGGGATTCTTGTAGTAGCGTATGATTTAAAAGAGAACAGGAATGTTGATGAGCATGCGCCATATCTGCAGTGACGTGGGGATGAAAACGCCCGACGTCGCGCAATCACGGTGACTGAAAGGCAGGGACTAAATATAGTTTTCCCAGGGCCGTTGCTTTCAGGAGCGAGTTCTTTAGCTCACAAAGTAACTCCCGCAGCGCAAAAACATGGTTTCGTTTCATAGCATGACGGCATGGCTGGCCTGGTACCCGGCATGCTACCGTTGGAGCGTCCGCACATGCCGACGTCTATTGTTGAAAAATATTTTAAAAGACTCGAGACGAGACCCACGTAACGACGAGACCGCGAAACGAGAGACAGCGGGAAAAGCCATGGAAGGATCAGATGGACCACTGATGCTGGGTACTTTGTGTCGGGCGGCTGCTTGCGCCACCTAGCTCGTGCATGCTCAATTGCGGTACTCAGTTTTGGTTTCGGTTTTAAAAGGCCACAAAAATTGGTCCTTTGGTGCAGGCTTGGCGCAGAGTACCCGTATTTTGGCAAAATGTAGCAGGGTTAGCCTCTTGGCGCAGTTTGGCGCAGCAATCACATCACTGAGATATCTGCTCATTTTAAACAAATGAGGAAACCCGACCCCACTGCACACTGTAAAGGACCCCATCTTCTGTGAGATCTACATCTTGAGTTTCGGAAAGTGTGGGCTTCGAGAATATTTTGCGGGTGCAAAATTCTGAGATGGAGTGGCAAGCTATGTATTCATTACCTTGGGATGATATATTAGTGCAATCTATTCTTTGCAGTCCTTTACGAGCCGCAAAATTTGTGAAAGTTAGGACCTCGGAAAATATTAAGATGCCTCTAGTGGGGGATCTAAAATATTTATAATCTCGAGGATTCCTTTCGGTGGCTAGCTGACAAACCCCCCTCTGTGCCAGCATTGATCCGACAAAGCGGTGAAGAGGCTTTCAGACACCGTAAATGGCCACACCAATTAAGGACTACTTGGCACAGAGTTATGCATCAATGCACTGCCTAGATCTAGAATCGCGCTTCAACTGGAAGAACGACTGACTTGGGAGCAGGGATGGGCGACGGAACTTGGGGAGATGGGGCAATCATCGACAATAATTTGGGGAACCCAGTTTGTGGACCTTTAACGAAAATGCGCCGGTACCTCGTGCGCGTCTCCGACCGATACGTCTAGCGTCCCATTCCACCCGTGCGTCAAAATTGGTCCCGAAATGGCCCTTTTCCCGAAAGCGCCAAAGAAGGAAGAAGCACCTTGAGGTCCCAGAGGACGAGCTTTCCGTCCATGCCCGTGGTGCAGAGGCGGGTGGCGGCATCCCTCGTGCCCTGCACCAGAGTCACCAGGGTGATGGCGTTCTGGTGGGCCGTGTCCAGCAGCGTGTCCCCCCGAAACTCCGTCGCGTGCTTGTCCATGTTCAGGAACTTGCGCATCGCACTGCAGGCACATGTGCATGTGCGAGGCACGTCATTAGCAACGGTGGCGGCACGGGCAAGGTGCGGTTCAGACACCTGCGTCCAAGCGCAACTAAGACTGCACCGATGCCGCTTACGGCAAGGGCCCTCGAACGTTTAAGCCTCGAGGAACATTTACTTGCCGCGACATTGAAGCAATAAAGATGTTCTGGAATTTGCAGAACTTGCAAACAACAACGAACACGCTGGGTAGTGTTTGGCTCGTGCTAAAATAGCTCTTAAATTGGGAAAACACTTTACTCAGGAGCAGGGACGGGCGAGAAAAAAAGGAGCCCATAAGGGCACTCTGTGGAACCCTTGTGCTTTGGGACCCTGGTTCGAGGACCCATTACCGAGATGGTTGCCATGGCAACCGACGTCCGCACAACGCGTCTTAGTACAGCAAGTCACATTCGGATGCAGGTGTTCGAACCAGCCTCGGCTCGGTAACTTGACGAAATGCCTTGCTGTGCAAAGCTAGCATCGTGGTCTGAATTTCGCATTTATGGTTGGTTTCTCAACCACCGTCCATTCAAAACAGCGGCATTCTGTGTCGTGCACGTTCGACAGTTTGTGGCAAGGTAGAGGACGGACCGCAATCGTGTGCGGCATGTGCTGCGGGGCAGCGTACCCCTGCAGGCCGTCTCCATTGCCTTCTGCTGCGTTGCGTTAAAAGCCACACACGGTATCAACTCGATACAAAAGACCTGATTACGCCAAACGTTCGGTTATAGACGCTTTCAGGGAGTCAGTTACTCGAGCTGCCACCAGTCGGCGCGCCCTCCGCGCGCTTCCTGGGCCGCCATAGCCGACCTTCAGTTTCTTGCCGTGTGTGCCGCGCCGGCCGCTACCGGAGCTTTGTTTTTGTGTTATTTTACGTTTCGCGTTAAAATCGTGTTTTCTTTTTAAGTATTTTCGATATTTCGGGCTTTCATTCCATCATTTGATACCTACATTTGAACATAGCTCTTGTATTTTCTTATTTAAGGTATTGAATCGGACAGCGAATGGATAGACGATGCAAGATTATGGCCTAGGCTTCAGAGACCATGTAAGTTCATCACATTCTTTCATTTTAGTCGCTAATAAAGGGCAGTCAACACCATTGTGACACATGGAAATTTCAATTGACGCAGTAAGGCTATCGCAGTCGTGCTTCTCGCTGCATGTGCGTGCTTTAGACATTGCTTCCGTAAGTAAAAGCCAAACCGCATGTAAGCGCTTTAGCGAGCGACGACACAAGAGACGGTGACAACCACGAAAATCAGCGACGAAGATTTCTCACTGTCACCCGTTGCGTCGCTCAATTTTTGGATTTCTAGAAAATGTTGCTCACCGTCTTGGTCGCTTGCTCCCGTCGCTTTCATGCGGCTTGCCACGTCGCGCAATTGACCGAGTGACTGCGAAGCAGGTCGCCGTCGCTTGCCTCGTCGCTCGCCAAATCGCTTACATGCATTTAAACTTACTTAATTTCGATGCACACAGTACTGAATCATTGGCGCCTCGATATTAAGTATAAACCGCAAGCAAGCGATTTGGCGAGCAACAAGGCAAGCGACGGCGACCCGCTTCGCTGTCGCTCGGTCAATCGAACGACGAGGCAAACTGCAGGGAAGCGACAGGAGCAAGCGACCAAGACGGTGAGCGACATTTTCTAGAAATCCAAAAACCGAGTGACGCAACAGGTGACAGTGGGAAATCTTCGTCGCTGACTCTCATGGTTGTCACCGTTGCTCACTAAAGCGCTTACACGAGTTTCGGCTTTTACTTACGGAAACAATGTCTAAAGCACGCACAAGCAGCGAGAAACACGACTGCGATAGCCTTACTGGGTCAGTTGAAATTTCCATATGTCACAATAGTGTTGACTCCCTTTATTAGCGACTAAAATGAATGAATGTGATGAACTTACATGGTTTTTGAAGCCTAGGCCATAATCTTGCATCGTCGATCCATTCGCTGTCCGATTCTTTCCATAAACAAGAAAATACAATAGCTATGTTCAAATATAGATTCTATCAAACAATTAAATGAAAGCCCGAAATATCAAAAAGACCTAAAGAAAACACAAGATTTCAACACGGAACGTAAAACAACACAAAAACAAAGCTCCGGTGGTGGCCGGCGCAACACACGACGCGGAGCAACGGCAAGAAAATGAAGGTCGGCTATGGCGGCAGGGTCACGTGACGCCAAGATGGCGGCGCCCATGAAATGTTGCCTGCAAGGGTCTATAACATGCCGATTTGCAAAGATTGGTTGATCTTTCTCTTCATGCCATTGAGCCAACTTCACACATTGCAGGTTTTGTTACAGAATACATTCGGACACAATAGGCTCTATTAGGGAGTTTGTAAGTAGTTCACCATTTCGTTACGACAAACTCTTCAACGGCAGTCATAATTTGGGATGATACGAGACTTTGGTTCAGTAGTGGTGGCGTCCATTTCGCGAACTGCCGTCGCCTTGCTAGGCACCGGGCAAGCCTCGTGCAACGAGAATCGTTAGTACAGCTCGATGAAACATCATTACCTCTCAATGCTTGGAAGTTTCAATAAACTAGTTTCTTTTTAATATCTGTTTACATTTCGTCAGTCTTGCCGGTTAGAACAGATCCCAGTCATAATTAGGGCTCCGTGTCTTTGGGGTCTATTTTTCTTCGATTTCAGGGGCATCTTTTCGAGGTTTATTTATTTTCCGCAAATATGGTGTTTTTTCGTCGTAAATTTTTTCGCATCGGACAAGAAAGCGGTGTTCATGAGGCCTCATGCTGAAGAAACGAAACAAGGGAATGGAATTCCCCAAACTCCAGAGAGCATGCTCGTCGCCAGAATGTATGCAGAATATTCCGGTACCACGAAAAGAAAACGAGAAAAGGGGTCTCGTTTCCGAAGAATTCGAGAGGCACCCTCGCGGGCATTTCAGTGAGGCCGTGTTCATGGTAAACTTGAAATAAAAATGTAGTTAAAAATATTTGCCCGGGAAACTTGGGTTTTTTCTGTCAAGGAGAGCTCTGGGGTTTTTCGGTTTTCCCTGAATTGGTTAAAACCGGCCCGAAGGTTATCCTTCGGTGTGTATTGGTACTTAACGAAAATGCAGAACCCTAGCCCTATTCCCAAGTCTGATGCAAGAACATGCACCTGCATCCTGCATACTTTTACAACAGTCCAAAGTCTTGTTTGCTATCAAGGTGTGTTATAATGAGCTTATGTTGTATCTGTTGATAGATAACCAATGCTTCTCCAGGGCAGCAGAGATCAACCAGCAGGGCACTTTGGAATACTCAAGGGCCCCAGATTCACGTTCTACCGCCGGCGCAGTGTTCTATGCGTTGTCGAAAAAAAAAGTATTATGTTGCTCGTTACTTCCAAATAAGAGGAATGCATTACTGACCTACATTATGTCAAAATGAAAGGAATGCGTCACTGTGATCGATAAAAAGTAAAGCATATTGCTTTTGCGGTACTTTATTTCTAGATCGAAACGTTTTACTGTTTTGGCGTTACGGGTACGCACAAGCGCCATACTTCAAGGAACACTGCTCGGAATAAGTAAATGAGTAGTATGCTATCCGTTACTCAAAAAGTAACAAGTATGTTACTATGTTACCGCCAACACTGTGTTGGGGTAATGGGTCTGGAAAGCTTCGCCAGAAATCCCCACAGACAGCTGCATCATGCAACTTGCGAAGCAACACTGCTTTCTCCTGCCAAGAGGGAAGTCCACGCACCTGACACCGTCCACCTCCTTCCGCTGGGACTTGTCCAGCTTGTCCACAAACGACACCTGGCCGTTGCTGTATTCGTACACCATGGGGCAGCAGTCGTAGCCCTGCGATGCAAAGGACGCCCTCAGCACAAACCGCACTCCAACGATCTGGCAACGACGGCGTAAAACTGCCACCGCGAAACCCAGGTCTTCCTCTCGGTACCAGTGGTTCTCATAGACTCCTCGATACAATGTGGCCTTTTGTCATTATCTTACCATTAAACTCTTCCTTATCATCATCATCAGTATATCCAGGGTAGGTCGTAGTTCCTACGGCACGACACAGCTGACATGAATGAGCAACCATTTTTACTGGAAGATCGCGACTGACACTATGAGTGTGGTGGAACGTGTTTATGTTGGGTATCGACCTAGACGGCAAGTCTTAGTGCCCAACTGGTCGGAGACGTGTTTAATGGAAGATACGGGCCGAAAAACAATGTTTTGAAAAAGTTGTGATTCCGGGTTTTATGGTCTTTTAGTATCTTTGAGTCTTTATATTTTATGTATAAAAACAACAAGTGCCAGTTATGATGTTGAAATTAGTCAGATGCGCATCTGAAGAACTCCCGGCAACCCAGAAAGGCATGTATTTAGCCATTTTCTGTGTGTGCAAATCTTCAAATCGCAACGTCGTCCAAAGTCTTGATTTTTTTTTTTTCTTTTTCAATAGGCTTCATTGTTTTTTGTTTATCACAGTCACTATTTGGGGACAAACTGCAGACGCTGTACCGGAACCGGGGGAAAACTTCCCACTTCCGGTACTGCAAATGCTGAGACTCCAAAAGCCGTGACCTGCTTTGGACAGCCGTTTAGGCACCGTAGCGAGAGGTAGCGAAGGGAGGGAACGAGGGAACTCACGGCCACGACGATCCTGGAGGGGGACACCCAGAGGCAGGACAGGAAGGGCAGGAAGGGAGTCCGCACGCTGGCCACCGCCAGACCCTTCTGGGCGTCTGCCACGCACACGCTGCTGTCGTGCCCCACCCAAGCCAGCCGGCTGCCGTCCCCGGAGAAGCTCACCGAGTGCACCCAGCCAGCTGGACGTCGGAAGCCACAAAGAGGAAAAAACATTGGGGATAGTCTACCGCTCCAACGTCCCTCAAGTAGGGTGCACCTGGACAGCGCGCCGAAGGAACGCCCAACTCGGCAGAAATTTGGACGTCCCAGGTGCCTCTTGCAGTCCTGTTCCAAGGTGTGCGTCATTCCGCAGTACTTTTCTTTGGCTGCTCTGGGGTTCGCCACATAATGGACAAAGTGGCAGACACGAGCCAACCACACATCCAGCAGTACAGCCTAGTTCTGGCACTTGTTTGGCAATTTCGGCCCAAAAGTTGTCGGGTGACGATTGAACAGCCAAGCGGTGAAGCCTAGCTCTGGTACTTGTAAGGCAGTTTAGTGCCGACATACCCAGGCTCTGGGTCTCTTGGTCGTTAAGTCATACCTTGGCTCGCTTTCGGGCTCATTAATTGCCAGACAGCCAGATAAAATCAAATCTGGGTCCAAAGAACTGTGCCACTTGGGCAGTTATGTACACGGTGTCAAGTCGCACCACATGACGCCGTGACACAGTATCACATAATACGTGATGTCACAACATGATTTGACAACCATCATTACTAGATCTATAAATGTTGTCACTATCGTGATGTGATGCTGGCGTCAATGTTGTTGATACCATCTCGCTTCATCCCTCAGTTTTTAGAGCACAGCTCTTAGGGGCCCGTTTCCAGCCTGAGCGGCGTCGGCGTAACCGAGAGGGGTGGGGGGGGGGGGGGGGTCACCTGACCCCCGAGGTCACGTGACCCCCCCCCCCAGGTCACGTGACCCCCCTCCCCCGAGATCATGTGACCCCCCCCCCCCCCCCGGGGTCACGTGACTACCCGCAGGTGACGTGACTCCCCTCAGTACCCTTCCCTACTCCTCCTCAAGAGCTGCGCTCCAATTTGGCGTTACAGGGATTTGTAAACGGCTTCCATTTTTTGTCCCTTTTCTCTTACCCCTGCCTTAAACAGTCCCCAAGTTCCTGGCATTACAAAACAAAGGTAAAAGGAGCACTACCACATGGTGTAGGCTACTCCACGAAACAGAGAGCACAGCTTTTTATTGCACACCGCTTGAAAGTGCCGGCCTCAGCCCCGTTGCCTGGCAGTTCAACCGAGAGGTCGCCAAGTTCATTGTTTCCCAAACTAACAGCATGTGTCTACGCCACAGAAACCAGATGGCGTAGGTTACCACCCGAAAGCGAGTGTACGGCCCTCGATTGTCCATACGCTCAAAAGGGTGGCCTCACCTCCGCTGGCAGACAGCTCGGCCATGAGGTTGCCAAAGGTGCCGGGCTTCTCTCCCCAAGGACTCTGCTCTGGCGGACTGTCCACCTCACGGATGTATGCCGAGAAGATCCTGCGTGCAGACGGTGCAAGGCAAAAAAGTTGCCGCGACATGTGCCTGTAAACTCCATGGTCTTGGTAGGGCAACACTGCAGAGGCACACGACGCATGACAGTCTACATTTTACGAAGCAACACAGGTTGCATATTAACGCAAGTCGCAGATCAATGTTGCAGCAATGTACCATAATAGCCCGAGATAGCACACCTAAAATCAGGCTATCTTTCGGTGTACAATCAAGAAAAGTCGAAAAAATTATATATTTAGGTTATAGGTTCCTTCCAAGCTTGTCATTGTGGCGAGGGGCAATGAAGCAAAGATGACTGCACTTCCCAGTCGGCAATCTTCACTAATATCCCACCATAGTTAACTAGCCGCATTTACGCCGAGGCCACAGGGTGTCTAGCAATTTATTATTTTGACATTCCCTGACCTTTCCAGGTTTTCCCTGACAATTTTAGGTGAAATTCCCTGGCCACTGTAGAGGCGGTTAAATATATAAGACCATTAAAACACAAGGCATTGGACATTGAGCACTGTGAGGATCATTTTGCACGGGCTTAATTCAACTTGCATATTTCTAAATATTTGGGTTTGTCCAGCCCGGATCAAACGAGCACTTTCTTGCCGCCGACATCGTCAGTGAAAAGGCCACTTCCGGAAACACAATGAAAACACGATGCTCAACCACACACGTCAATAGATGAATGGCAGCATGGCCACCAGATGCATACTTTTGGATACTTTCGGCTTAAAGGGATACTTCAACGAAATTTGAAATATTCCCGTCGTGTTCAAAAATAGGTTGAATATGATCCACAATATCCGTAAATGACAATCGCACGTTTGTATTTTGATCCTGGTGGCTGTATTTTTCGTTATAAACGGCCCACTCTGGCAAGCGCTCGGAGAAGGCCCAGCTTAGAGCACGTGACATCCAACGCAATTGTGACGTAGGTCGTCTCAAGACGAGCAAAGCTACGGTGAGGCTGAAGTCGAGAGGATGGCCTAGTCGTTCCAGCCACCGAAGCGGCTGCTTTTGTACGAATTTTGAGTGACGGGTTAATCTTCTATAATCTTCTAGGGGGACAATAGCGACTTCTGCGACACACAAAAGGGATTCTCGGGACGAGGGGAGTTCCTCCTTCCCCCCTTCTCTCGTCGTGGCCGGAGACGAGACAACCTCCGTCACTAGCTGTCAAGGTTCCTAGACGAGCATTACAAACGAGGCGTTAGCGACATCCACCAGGTGCTCTTTGCTAATCGTTTAATTTGTTTTAAAATTCCTTTTCGAGGCTTTTTTTAACAAGACATTGGTATGTTCCATGTGATACTGCTCTTTTGAACACATATAGACCAAAAAATGAGCGCCGAAATTTCGTTGTAGTATCCCTTTAAGGCTTGGATTGGGGTCTACGGCCATTCCCATTTGTTACTAAATCTAGTAGCTCTAACTGGATCTAGCGTAGTGTCGCACCCTCAATCCAATCCAAGGTTTGGACTGGATTTGTCGACTGTTCCTTTTGCGTCGGGTAGACCACTCTACATCGGGTGAGCAGAGCCCGCGCTCCGCTCTAAGCAGAATTTATTGCCCATTTTTCTGCCCTCAAGTCTTTGCTCAGGGCACTCGATGGCGTTTCCGACTTATTTGCCCCGACTGCGCTCGCTTTTTAACAATACCCTTCACTGACAATTCCCGGCTTCCCGGTCGCCAGACACCCTGGGCCATCACTGATCCCAACACTACTATTACTAAAAGTGGGCTGTCTTTCAATGTTTAGAAAAAATATGGCAAATCAAGCCAAACATAGGGGAGGGCTATCAGACAGATAGTATACTTTAGCACCTGTCAACAGCCAAGAGGCCCGAAGGACAGTAGAGTTTGTCATACACAGATTGCTTATGCAATAAAACAATATCCATGGCAAAGTCAAAAACAAAATACTACAATGCACCCAAGTAAATAAACTAGTCGACTAAACTAACTACACAGTGCCCATACTCCCTACGAAGCAAGGTCCTAGCAGCATGGACCCTTCATTAACGTACGTTAAAGAACAATGTTGCTGCAACATAAAAGTATGAAATTAGTCCAATTTTAGCGAGTCGTTTTGTCGCCAAGGCCGCCTCAGTCTTTGTGCCGTAACAAACACAGCAGTTCTATACTTCGTTTTACCGTTACTTGGCAAGCAGCAAAGCCTGTGGCCCCGGCGAGCCAATCGGCGCATCAAAACAAAGCACGTGACAATGCATAGTCGGAGGGCTCTCGTCTTGCGGAGAGCTGCACGTGGGACCCATAGTCTTCACCGTTTGCCCAGGGGCCATAGTCTTCGCCTATTGCCCAGTTGTGATGAAACAAAATATAGGGCTGCCACGTCTGCTACAGCTTGGGCTCTCAAACTGGGCTGCTAGGAACACGGGGGTTCCCCAGATCAGTCTTGGGGCCTTCCTTGAGCTCTCAAATTGCCTCGACTGTACCTGCTCGTAAGTAAAATGTTTTACCCGTTAAAGTTCTTTTTGAACAGGTATCGGCCACCTACCAACGGGATATTGCGTGCCAAACACTTCCCAGTATGCACGCTACTGCTTACAGGGTCTATGAGCTTCCACGCTGTTTTGTTGCATTATTGCCGAGGTCGAGACGGATTCCTTGGCCATCAGTCGAGAGAGAGGGATATTCCTCGAGATGGGAACGTTTGGGAACCCCCAAGGCAACAGCAAGAAGACAGAGCTACCCCTGGCAAAACGTAGTACACTAAAATTGGGCTAACTTTGTACAGTGGCGTTGGGGGAACCAGTGGCTGTGCGCAATGGCGTGCCACAGCTCGCAGCATGTGAAGTCAAAGCCTGCGCTGCAGACTTTGACTGAGAACCGTACCGGATGAGAACCGTACCGGTGCATGGTCATGTATCACTACTGCGTGATGCACAACAAAGCCGCTGTGGTGGTACTGCACAGGCTAAATTTCCCGCCTGCAGTGGAAACACCAAGATGCCCACTGAGGCTGGGGCTGACTCACTACCCGCTGTCTGGACAAACGCCCAACACGATTAACATACTTTTCTACTGTAGCAGCTGCTCTTTGCCAAGTTACGGTGAAAGGGAGTATACAACTGCTGCATCTGCTATTGCAAAAAGATGGAGCTACCACTAGCAAAAAGCAGCGCACTAAAAATGGACTACATTTGTACCGTTACGTTCACTCTTTGCCGAAATACGGTGAAACGAAGCTCAGGCCACCCCCCCACTCACCTGGTCCTGAAGTCTGTGGAGCCGCAGGCGAGCAGGCAGTTGTTTGGGTGCCAGTCGAGAGAAGTGACGGTGGACTTGACGGGCTTCTTGATGTGCTTGCTCAGCCACCAGTTGTTGCCCTCCTCAAAGTAGCACACCGACACCAGCTTGGCACCGCAGCCCACTGCAAACTTGTTCTCTGCACGACAAAATGAAACGACGGTCCCTTTCTCAAATGTTCCGTGTCATGCATCATGGCAGGACGCAACACAGAAAGAAAGAAGGGGAGCAGTCCGAGCACTAGAACTGTCGGTCGCCACCTTTCGGGCAGAGAAAAAATTGCCCTTTAGCTGCAAACAATTTCCTTTGATAGCCAAGCTCGTTTCCCCCTCTCTTGAGTTAAAGGGCAACTCTGGTCCATACTTTCGATTTTGGGATTATGGCTGTTTTTAGTGCAGTTAGCGCCCCTGAATTGCAAGGTGTAATTTTTTTCTCGTTATTGTGCGTAGTTTTAAAGATATCGACGTCTCAAAGTTTTGTTTGGGGCGCGGCCGACAAAACCGAAACTAGCCGCTCGAGGTTCCGGCAACACTGGAAATTAGCCGCTATGTGAACGTGACGTCAAGATCGTTCTCGTTCAACGAGTACGCAGTCCAAGCGGCACCTACCTCTGTTGCGCTAGCCGTCTAAAGGTACAACGTAAGCTGATTTTGTTTTAATTCTGTATTAGTTATCGAGCATATGTAGCAAGAGTTAGTGCGTATACCCAAAAGCTAGCGACTGGAAAACCCGTCAACTCGTTCTGTGCCGTACACGGCGGCCGCCGCCGCACATGCGCTATGCCGTGCCGTACTCGTTGCTTGTATACCCAAAAGCTAGCGACTGGAAAACGAGTGAACTTGTTTGGTGCCGTACTCGGCAGCTGTCGGCGTGCGTGCGGTCTCCCGCACGCGTCTCTAGGCCTAAATTGTCATTGGGGCTCCGTGGAGCGGCGTTGCTCTACGCCGCGCTGCCAGTGACGTACAGTGCTGGGGGCCCGCTCGCTTTCGCGCTGCGGGTCAGTCCCAGACACGAAGCTTTAAGGCTCTCCGGCGCAGGGCGCGACGCCCGAACAGACGTGTGCTAAGCTCTAGACGTCTGTTTTTTCGTTTTTTTTTTTTCCTCAGGCGCGTAAAAGCCGAATTTGTAAGCTACGACACTAATTCATCACATAAGTTCATCCAAATAGTGAATCTTTGTATAAATAATAAAAAAAAAAAAAAAAACTTGCCGCACTAAAAAATAAAAGTTCTTTGGGCAGTCATTTTCTTCTCAAGGCTAGCAAAAGTTTTTGTGGGTGATAAAGGAAAACAGAGAATGTTAGCTAGGTGAAAACACTTTCTTTCCCTTCCGCATTCCGACCCCCACCCACAACATTTTTTTTTTTTTTATTGGAATACATAGGATTTTAAGTTTTCCTTCGTAACTTTTGACTAAGGCAATTTTTTTTTTTCTTTTTTTGCATTTTTAAATATTATATTTACCTCCAGCCTAACTCGGGTAAATCGGAGAGTTGTAACTTACGAATCCGAATTTTCGCGATTTCTTTAAAGTTTCTTCTGGTATTCACAAGCGGAATGTTAATTAATACTGCTGCGTAATGGGTTCGAACAATTGGGAGGCGAATGTTTATATCGCATGAGCTTCACGCGCCGGCTGTTCGCTAGTAGTCGTTACGGACCTGAATACTAAGCACGAGATTGCGTAGTAAACAAGCAGTGACGCAAAGCAGAACATTGTTTTCCTTTTCATTACAAACTTCAGTGTTTGGGGCTAGTTAGTGGTTGTACTCTACATGCCCACCATTCCCCATTCAACAGACATTCAATGGAGCGTGAATGCTCAATCTTCAACACTGCACTTGACAATGACTGTTTTATTTATTGATCAGGATACTTTTATCATGTTTACCTTTTCTGTACATGTACGATGGGCAAAGAGCGACGGCACGGCATCCTTTTTAAGCCTCGACCCCTTCGCTGACAAGCCACAAGCAACCAACACCTGTGGGTTTCGTTCGTAACTCTCCGGCGAAAAATGATCGGAGCAGAGCTTCGATCTGGGGGTCGGCGTCCAAGGCTTTCCAAAGTCCACTCGTCGAGCAGCGTTCACCCACACCTTCTCCAATTTCCGATGATCCGTTGGAAACTTGTGAAAAAGCACCCCCGGGTTGCGCAGCGGGTTGTTTGAGCCCACAGCGCTTTAAGTTGTGCTCGGCATCTTTCGAGGAACAGCTGGGCAGTCTTGGGCGCACCGAGTTGCTCGCTAAAACGAGTTTTGGAGTCCTCACAAGCAAATAAACAAAAGGCTATACGGAAGCTACACGGGCTACAGGTAAAAGCAACGGCTAAACACGTAATCACAAGCCAAAGTAGCGGTGGTAGCGGCACAAAGAAGCACGCGCGACGGCTTCGCCGTGCGCCCGTCCGGAACAGAGGAAAAAAAGAGAATGATGTTGACATCACGGCCCAATGTTGCTTTAGTGATAGGCAACCCGCTGGCCGCCCGCTAAGGAGCAGCGGCTCGCGGCGGGTCGCATTTTTATTATGGGTATTAGTTGAGAATGCGGCGTCCCACGGACGTGAAATTTTGGCTGGGGTCGTATTTTGTGTCACTAAAGCGATACCAGTAATTTAATTCATTTTGAGTTTTGGCCGGAGTTGCCCTTTAACCCCTTAAGTGCCTAGGGCAAGTTGAGCCCGCCGGCGGCTTTCTGGTTAAAATGCTTGGCACGAGCTCGTCCAGTGTTTTTTTTTCTGTAGCTCTCAATTCCACGGACGAATTACGCTCATCCGAGTGGTTTGCGTCGATGATCATAGATGGCAGCATTCCTTTTAGTTGAAGTCCCGATGATGACGGCAACAACAATTCGGATTGTGGTGGCAATTCCAGAGTCCGCAACCTCAAATAAGGTGACCACACTGTACTTGGCATTTTGGCACAAAAAAAAATCAACAGGACTGCCCTAATCTACTGGTTATTTTTTAGATTCAACCCCAGAGGATGTAAGGTGCATAAGCGTGTATGCAGAAATGCAAGATGCTTTGCGCATGCACAGAACCGTAAAAAGGTTCATGTGAGCACAAAAAATGCACAGAATTTTGCATAATAAGCTTTTGAAAGTCTACCTGCGATACTAGAGGAATAACACTCAACAAAAAGACATAGCATCTTTTGTGTCTCTTAAAAAAAAAAGAATGTTGCACCTCGCGGGTTAATGCGGAACTCTAGGCAGGCATAATACCATCCGAGATGCGTAAAGCAGAGGACAAAATGCTACTGCTACACAAGCGCACAAGCGCTGCGGCATAGCCCCCCGAGCTTGTTTTATGAAATTCAGAGAAACCTAGAATTGGAGCTATCCTCAAACAAGAAAAGCACGGGCTTTGCAACAAGAGAAATATTTATCTGCAGCTTTATTTCGAGTTCACGTGGAACACAACCCCACTGAACTGCCGGCGAGGCTGTTCCTTTCTCCAAGAATCATACGCCTTATACTGTTTGCATCTTTTATCAATACCAGAACCTTTTAGAAGCATTCGGGTCACACACACACGTTCCTTGAAGGTTCTGAAATCCCACGCCCTCTTTTCAGCCACAAAAAAAAACAACGCAAAAATATACTTTTTCTTTTTTACGTTAAAAGCAGTAGTTTAGAACCACCGAATCTCTGGACAAGAAATAAACCCAGAAAAATCACTTCCATATTTAAAAAGAAGATAAACCCCCAAAAAACGTAACCCATATCATAACACAGTCGAACGATGCTGCACGAACAAACCTCGTAGGGTTGTTTTTGGGGCTTACCTTTTCCAATGGAATCTGTGTTTTTTAGAGTACACTTTTGGTGTTAAACAGAACGTCAAACTTCACCGAAGCTTGCATCGAAAAAAAAAACAAAAAAACACAGGCGTGAGATTTTTCAATCTCCGGGCAACATACACACCGCTCAAATACTTCGAGAACGTCTAGGTATCGGTAAGAAAAAGAATCAGGACAACGTCTGCAGTTCCAAAGAAGCGAGCAACCTCACAGATGGTTTGCTGGGGGTCGTTTTCTGGGTCGACACAAAATAAAGCCGTAGATCTGTTAATCAAGAGTACAGCGACGTGCGGCCCCGACGCGGCGCCGCCATCGGCGGCATGCCTTGTGCGGGCGCTTCGCTCGATGCAAATCTGGTTTCTACACACGCCTCGTGTTTGTAAACGGCACATCGGTCTACGGGCATTCTCCGAGATAGAAAAGTGTGAGAACTCTTGCCGTAGCCAAAGGCCGGCGTGGACGAACAAAGACGGGGGCGGGCGAAACGGACGCACCTAGCGGTGACCAGCGCACGCAGGTGGCGGCCCTGTTGATGCGCAGCAGCACCAGGGTGGGCGTCCAGCGCTTGGCACCCCTGGCCCCCGGAGCGTCCTCGGCCAAGGTCCAGACGTAGGCGTTGCGGTCGGCCGAGCAGGTGACGATGCGGTTGCTGCGGGGCGCCCAGTCCATGCTGGTCACCCGCAGGTCGTGCTGGCTCAGCGTCTGGCCGGGCTGCCACGAGCCGCCCGGTTCGCAGCCGAACAGCTGCACCTCGTGGCTGTTGGGGCACAAGGCCACCTCTGGCAACAATGGGAAGGGTTTCGGATGTTTTGACGCCGAACAGTGGCAGCAGGGGGTTATACTGGGTGACTCGGAAGAAATTATTTACGGCCTTTTAAAGCGACACCTTGCGGGGATTTCGACCTCGTGGGCTGTCTTCGCGCCGCAACGGAAAAAACCTTCTCTCTGCTCTTGGCACGAGACCGGGGGAAGTCTGGTTTTTGCGTCGCCCCCGGCATCCCGCCAGTAACGACACGAGAAAGGGAGAGTCTTCCGTGTCGTCTGCTTGAAAGACTTGTTTTCAAACATTACTCGCATTATGCGAAATGCCACTTTGGCAGTATCCAGGTGCTACGCGTAATGTTGGTTTTAGAAACTTCCACCGCGCTTACCCACTTCACGAATCACTGGTGGTGGTCAGTGGCATCCATGACCGCTTATGAGAATTAACCACTTTGCACCTCCGTCCTCAGGTACGTGACGAGACCATCCCACCCGCATTGTGCGACCGTGCTACAGCTATTGCTTTGGTTTCTCCGCACGTGGGCAAAAATTATGATTCTTTTTTGCGACCACGGCTGTTACCGGAAGGTTTTGGAGCCAATCCCCGGATGCGCTTCCTTTAGGGTCGTCGCAGTTGAGAAACTGCTCCACTAAATTTCGCAAAAAAATTATTTCTCCGCCAAATGGGACAGTCACAGCAGGTGGTACAATTACGTCCCGTGACGTCGTGGTTAGTGTGTGGCGCGACGCTCGGCCGTCGCCACAATTCACTTTCAGGGTGTGGCAAGGGACCAAGTATCTTTTCGCCTTGAATACAAACTATACATCACCAAAAGTTCAGTCTCGGCTGAGATCTAGTGGTCCAGATCGGAAGACTCGGAGCTTGCCCTTGTCCAGCAGGCTTGACACAGTTTGGAAGACATTAGGTGCCGACATTATTATGAATGAAAGGATGCGATCTAGGTAGCACCAAAGTGAAGAGTGCTTCTAAAAAACCAATATATATTTTGGGTGAGACTCTTCAAAATTTACATGTTTTTTTTTCCACCGCAAAAATAAGCTATGTGTCGCCCAATGTTCATTGTCCGCCCAAATGTAGATTTAGCAGTTCTAACCAGACGCCAAAGTTTCAGAACTAACCTTTGTCTTATTCAAACGTTACAGGTGATATTCTGAAATATACAATGGGAAAATGGTGATCGACGGAGCTCTTGAATACATGGAGCTGAATGGCGCACGTCACGAAAAACGGGCTTTATTTTCCCAATAAAATTTACGCAACTTTTGAACGAGACAATGGTTAGTTTCGTAAATATGGCATCTGGACTGTACTGCTAACACTATATTTGGGTGGGGACTGAATGTTTGGCAATGTGTAGTTGATTTTTGCGACAAAAACATTAATTCTTTTTAAGCACGTATGTGCAGAGTTATTTTTACATAGTACTCACACTAGAAGTCACAGGAGCCACGTCAAGTCACAGGACTTTAGGGATCATTAATGGGAAGAGCACAAGCATGGGCAATGAGCATTCTTGAACAGAAAACTTATCCTTCCCAAAAGTCCCTCATCATGGCCAAATCACATGACATACTGATCCGTAGACAGACTGATCATGTGACGACATGTCCACGGTTCGTCCATCTCCCAAGCGCATCCGCACAAGGGAGACAACGAGCAGACGCCAGCAAGGACGAACCAAACCTGCTCACCACCCAACAGTGCCGCGAAACTCCAATATTGCGCCGTGGCACCGTTGTCCAAGAGAGAAATTGATATTTGCTACCGCAATAAGGAATCGTATGCTGCTGATACTTACAGAATGAGAAAGAATACCGTGATAGGCTTTGCACGAAGTGCCACTAGCTTTACTAACACACACAAGGCACGACAGCGACACAGGCATGGTCCTGCTCGAGAAGGGTTTGGCGTAGAAGCGACAAAGTTCTGGGCTTGTGGGGGGACACTTCGAGATGCACACCGTGCTCGCACACAACACTTAAGTACATTACAGCCACAAGAAAGGTCTTGCTCGGTGAAATTATCACAGCGTGCTAGATGAGTTTTGACGGAAGCTCCTTGACACAAACTTGGAGGACTACCGAAATCTGTCAGCCGGGCAAAGTTTCTGCAGTATTTCTCACACGTGAAACGAAGGAGCGCGCAACAAGATGAACCAGCGAATGCACAAAACGCAACAATGTGCCACTTTTGTTTTAATAAAGAAAACAACCAACCATACTGTTGTCAGACCTAAACACTTTTCAAGTCAATCTCCTGCCAAAAATCTACGAGTGAAAACGCGCTCGGCTTTATCAGTCCGCATGTCCGTGGACGAGGTGCGGATCGCAGGAATTGGTGACGTGACGGTAACGTGGTACATGGTGCACGGATGAAAATCGTGATTCAGTCAGTCGTGCGAATCGGCTACCACAGATACTGAATGTGGTTTACATAAGAAAAGCTTACCTTACTTCCTTAGAGCGGTTTCAGTGTCAGATAAACAGTATGAATTCACTTCTTTGATATGACCTAGTGGTTGCCGACGTAACAATATTTGTTTTTCATCGTTCCGCAAAGAGCTGACCTCATTTTTTTTCTTGGGTTTATAAACAAAAAAAAGTGAATTAAAATTACCATCACTCCTACGCACCGAGCAATACTAAACCAAATCCTTTGCTAAGCATTTTCTAGGGGATAAATGAAAGTAGAAAAACACTAAGCAAAGTCTGACAGACGGCCGCTGTAGTCTGAAGCGTGCCCATACCTGAACGATCCTTGTTCCACGCATGGCACGTTATAGGTTCCACTCCGAAACTGTGAATGTCCATGGCTTAGCAGAGCTGGAGAAACAAGGGACAAGACATTCAACCCATCTCATCACACTCAGAACTGGACACCAGCACCGCACCCCAAGCGTCAGAGGTCATTTTGTTTAAGCGATTCTCACGACGAAACCCAAGAGCAAATTCATATTCACAAAACAAAAAGATAATAATACTCACTTAGCTTCCCACGTACACGACTTACAAGCTTCTTAGCCGAGTTGTTGCGGTGCTAAAAGAGACTTTTGTGAAACCGGCCTCGGATTCTATGGAAGGATGTTTACATGTTCTCGGCCACGAAAAATTCCGCCCCTTCACAACTTTTGTAATGACATTCAGTTGCTATTTGAAGATTCCGATTACTCGTCATCACTGCACCTCTTCAGTACTGACTTGCAGCAAAACCTACCGACTGCCTGATGTTACTTAAACGGGTGTTTGGGGACATTTTGAAACCTCAAAAAACCATCAAGCCCACCTACAGAATGTCAGCCCCAAGAACAGAAACCTGCGTGCCACCCAAGACCGCTGAAGTTCAGTCACTGTTCAAGATTGTTCGGCAATAAGATCCCGAACAAAAAGTCGCCTGCGCATGCAGGCAATGCAAATGCGTCGCGCATCACGGTTCCCGCAATGTCGCTCCCCACGCTAATGAGTGACTGGCGGCTTTTGCGCCGTCCTCATATGCATACAGGGTAAACAAAGTAGCGTAGGAGAGGGTTTGTTTATGCTTGCGCTGCGGCATCAAACAAAGGCAGTCGGGTTTGCAACGTCTGCTCTACCCATGACCGCCACAATACGAGCAGAAAAAAGAAAAAAAAGAAAACACTGTCGCATCAGTACAGATTTATGCGCTGCTGCTTATAAGGTATGTTGCCACCTTTACGAAAATTATTCTAGAGTTTGATCTTCAAATTATTACTTCAGGTCTGCCTTCTAAAAGGGCAATTTCATTCACCTTTGAAATATGTGAAAAAAATGTTTTTATTAATAAAATGGTTTTAATTATTGTAAAATACCGGGCAAGCGCCCACCCAAAATTTAGAAATAATCGCGAGAAAATGGGGGATGGGCGGGCGCTTGTCCAGTCATCAATTTTACATATCAATGTACTGTGCATATTTTCTCAGATTTGGGAATGGGCGCTTAGTGTGGAATGGGCGGATGCACGGTATTCTATTGTATGTGTGTTAAAGAGCCCCAAAAAGAAAAGAAAAATATATTTTTTAACAGTCTGGATGGGACACGTGTGTTAAAAAATTAGTTTTACATGGGAAAAAAAATTCTTAGAGTAATAATGACGGCGCGAGACGAGATTTAGTCGGCAGTCACCTCCTTTCCACTTGTTTTCTCTCTCTGTATTTTGGGCGCGTGGAGGAGAGGCAGATCGGCTTCGCCTTCACGTTGAGGTGGAAAGACCGAATTACTATCTCGTTGAGCAAATGACCATTCCGTGCATCATCTACTTTGCGTGCAGAATTTCAAATAAATCTCTTGCCATCAATATTGCTCTAAAAAAAATATTTTTGCGTAAACTTAATTTTTTTACACGCGTGTCTTAACCAGACTGTTTTAAAAAAATCTTTCTTTTTTTTCTTTTCAGAGGCTTTTTAAGTGTTGAAAAAAAATGAAGATTTTTAATCAGTTTAAAAGCCTTTTTGCAAAGAAAAACATTTGTTTTAAAGGTGGCGACATACCTTAACGCAATGGACAACTAGCCGCTGCATGGTTTCTATTGTGTCAGATGACCACCAGCAAATTTTGTAAAAAAGAATATGTGACCTTGTGTGCTATTTTTAATGGATTTGAAGGTTGAGGAACGTCCGCAACTGCTTGTGGTGACGCTTCATGAGTTCATCTACGTTCCCACAGGCTTTCATGTGTGAGGAAATTTATTTTATTTTTTCATGTATATTTATGAACCTTTTGAAACACCGATGCTCGAGCAATTGAAAAGCAGATGGCTATCATTACATTCTGTGATTTCTCGCTAACAGATGAGAGCTTAGGATGCTGCGACATTTCATGGGCAGACTGGGGACATGCGCCTGGTGGCATTCCTCCACAAATGTTTGCAACATTTAGTCAATGTCACGAAACCTGTGGTACTCCATAACTAAACTAATCTGAACTTGTAAGGTGCAGTCATAAGGCCGGGTAACCAAATCAGCTAGTTATCGTAACAGGATGATCTTTGGCATCGCTATAGAAGCCAGATATTATGAAAAATATCAAGCTTTTAACTACATCAAAACTTAAACGAAGTCTGCTTCACTGGGTCAATAAACCCAACCCAAGGTCACACTTATTTTGGATAAGTTACCATTCTAATGTAGAGAGAACACGTCGACTAGTAAGTTACTTCGAGACCAATTGAATCATCTGTAATATGCCTACATTACAGCACCATCACTCGTAGCAGAACATGCAGGAAAAGCAATGCACTATCAAAAACGACAAGATGGCCCATTTCGCTGTGTTTTGAATTAAAACACAATCACAGCTTGGTCAGTTGACCGCCACCCACCTGCGTCGCGCCGGCCAAGCCCTCATACGCGGCTTTGGCACTATCTCAAGGGTTTGCGTCATAGAAGCTCAACACATTTTCAGTGAGTCATGGCCAGATTTACCGAAAAGCCACAGCCGTAGAACACCCAACGTAACAGGAGACTGAAGTACCTTTAGTAAAGCGATCAAAAGCCGGTATGCGCCGAAGTCGCTCCCGAGCTACTGCTATACGATCACTTTTTTTGTTTCTTTTTGTCGCGTGTTTACTTGACAAGGTTACCGAGGTATGTCAACTTGAAGGTACCCTCCCCCACCCATCCGAAACCGACACTTCACTTTAAAATCACAACTTGGGGTGGCGAGGTTTAAAGGAAGAAATGTTCGTAACCGAACAAATAGCCACGCCCGTTCAAGCGACCGCTTCCTTATCTTTTTCTCGCCGGAACAAGCCGATATCCGTTGCCGAAGAGCGGTACGCCGGCAACCGGTTAGGCTTAGCGACGAGTACGGAGGAGGGTGGCGAGGACCGGCGGCGGAGCCGCGGTGGTACGCTACGGGTTTCTTTGAGCAGCACGGGGTTGCGTTAAAAACCCAGTCGTCATTGTTCTTACCTGTGGAGTTGTCGTTAAGAACATAAAAAATAAACGATGAGGAACGAGTGGCTTCTATCACACGCTTCGCACAAGAAAAAACTTCGACTCCGGTTGCGGTTTGTTTGCTTGTTGTTTTTCGGATTCCAGGCTGGCTTGGCTTGCGACTTTTGACGGCTATTTCAGTTTCGTCTCGGGGTCGGTTTGATTTGATGATTGATCGTGTAGGGCAATTTATTTCTTCGCTCCTGTTTTTACGGGTTTTTCTTCGGCGTAGGAACAACACCGACTACAATTTCTCTTCAAGTTTATTGGTTTAGTTTTTTTATTATAACAGTATTTGGAGATGGTGTCCTCTCTGCCAAATTTTTCCTTGTGGTCCGAGCTACAAGATCAAGATTAAAAAATATATTCTATAGTTAGTATAATCTTGTACAAAAGAAAAAAAAATAACAAAAATTTGTATATCTGATTCGGTCTTTTGTTTTAAATTAATATTGCTTTAACAATTTTGCAGCTTCAGCAGTTTAACCACGCCTACTAGAGAGCGCAAGACGTCGTCCTATTAAATAAATATTTTTTTTCTTTGCTTGTCTATTCATTCATTCATTCAACCTCGGGGACTCCGGGAAAGCAGCTGTTCGGGGGGGTTGCGTCGTGTGGGGTACTCCGTGTAGTTATTCAAAATTTTAATGCGTTGACAAGTGTAGCTCCTTTGAGGTGGTTTTATAACGAAAGTTAGTCGGCTGAACTGAGCATCCTACATCGACAAAATGGCGGGGGACGGGCCTGACACCAACGATAGCTACTCTTCATTGGTATGTGGCGTGCACCATTTCTAAAGCTTGCTCGTCCTTTTCACACTCTTTTCGACCTCACACACAATTTTTTTTTTTTTTTTTTTTTTTTTCCAGTGTGCTATTTACGTAGCATTCGAGCGCCGGCTTAACATCTGCGAACTAAAAATTAAAAAAAAAAAAAAAATATTGTTTTTTACGAGACGCACTTCGGGATTTGTTCGCGTTTATTGGCGTCGGTCCCGATCGAGATTGAAAATTTATGACGTGGTCTAAAGTTTGACCGAAGCCACACATGTCGCAATACTTTGTTTGTTCTCATTCGCTGTATCAAGTTCGGTTAAACTTGCTCAACTCCGATTTCTCGCCAAAAGGACGTGGGTTTCGGGGGGGTGGGAATTTACCGAGTCACTTTTGGCACGCAGATTCGTTACAGAACCAGCCACAAAATTATAATAAAAAAAGTGTATATTTAATTTTCGTTTTATATCTGTTTTTTTTTTTTCTGTATCTATGTGTTTCATTCAAAGTTGTATGCAAAAAAATAAATAAGTATATATATATATATATATATATATATATATATATATATATATATATATATATATATATATATATATATATATATATATATATATATATGCTAACCTGAAGTGACAGAGTTACATTTGTTAATTTCTAAGCAACCACTGATCCATTTAGCAACTGCCTTAGTTCATATCAAAACATCATCAACCATTCATGTCAAGAGCCCCATAGAAATTTTAACATGACGACAACCTGTACATAATACCTCCTTTATCTTTAAGACGGTTGCCAACAGCCGAAAATCGGCCGGGGAGGAACTTTGGGTCACCCCACCCCCAACCCTAGACTTTCTACCCTCACAAATCTCTGGCGTCATGCAAGCTTCTAAGCCCACAAAGTACGGCGACCTCACACCATTGACAGGGTAAACGAAACGTATCCCCACTGTTAGCATCCCGAGGTCGGCTCCAGGAACACTAGTCACCGTAGTCCGTTGCAGGTTAAGAAATGCAGGGCAGGCTCCTCCCTTAAAGTCCTCCACCCTTTCCAGTGTAGCACATCAAACATGAGAAGGTTGAGGTAACAGGGAAAGAAGGAAACCACCAACCGTGGCAAACGGAGAGCTTTGCGAGAGGGTATTTGGCTTGCCTTTCCTAACCTGCAACAGACTGTAGTACCTAAATCTGCTTTACTTTCTGCACACCGAATTGCCGACTTTCAGTCGAGGTCTTGATTGTCGCACCAACGTTCCAGGTGGGACTGGTGTACATATTCAACCTGATCGTCGGCACGGGCGCGCTGACGATGCCGGCGGCGTTCAAGGACGCGGGATGGCTCCTGAGCCTCGTCATCGTCATCATCCTCGCTTTCATGAGGTGAATTCGTACCTTCCTAAGAAACTTTCCGCGAACTTGTGGGTCGCAGCGTACTAGCATTTCGAATCCAGCTGACCACTTATCTCTGTCTGGAAAGGTACACCGCTTCGGTGGCTTCTACCTAATCTAAAAGCGGGATTAGGTTTGTGTAGCTCTAACCTTTGTTCCTGTGGAGACAGACGGACCGGAAGAGACGGTTTTATCTGATTACACAAATGGTCAGCGGCAATATCGCAAGCCGGGGTTGGTGACAGCAGACTGACAAGACAAAGCCTGCTGGGATTGAATTTGGGTTACGGATGTACGCAGAGTGTGGGTGTGCGGTTCAGGGTACTCGAAAGAAGGCCGACGGAGGTAATTTCGGAACTTCGTTTGTCTGAACATTAGCCGTGGCACGTGACGTGCCATGGCATTGTTGCTTTTCTACTGGAACGTACCAGTAGAATGCTCGTAGTCATCACGTGTCCTTGTCTGGACTGTTTTCGGCTTCATAACATCGATAAAAGATGCAGGGGCCGGCAATCATGGGAATCCCTTTTTTTTGCCGCTGTTACACAGTCTTTCGTTTCCGTTACAGGCAGAAGGTGGCCTGATTAAACATTTATGAATTACATGTGTATACATAATTTTATTCAGGATAACATTAGAAAGAAAAGTATTTCAAATTTAGATATTGAGCTTTACTTGAAAATTGGCCATTGTCTCGGTGTCCTTTTGGGTGTCCTATATATGACTCGTGTGAGGAGCTTGCTGTACAGTACTTGAAAGCATGCTCAGAAGTTTCCTGCTTTCTTTTATAGTGCCTCTTTATCTGCATATTGCTTTTCTACTTGTTTTGTTTTGAAACATGTGAATGAAAACAAAAATATAGAGATTGACAGTATGAAAATGTAGCAGTGACAGAGTAGGGACATATATTTATCATACTTTGGTCAAGCAAATATTTCTTGGCTGGCTGTAACTAAATTCATAAGGGCCGTGTAAAGATTTTTACATTATGTTTTGCAACAATCTGCCGTTATAAGAAATGCCGATGGAAAAGCGTCAAGTCTCGCATGGTGTCCGTCACACCAATAATAGCAGTTAAGTTAATAGAACATGCCTAGGTGGGAGGCAAACAGGGTGTGAATAACCAAAAATAAAATAATTTTATTCCTTCAGCACATTAAAGAAGCGCACTAAACCACCTTCTGTGATAGTCTATTTATGGTGGTTATAAACTAAAAACAAATACCTCCGACTTGTATAACAATACCAACAATTTATCAGACGCTTCGTCTTCTATACGGGAGACATCATCAGTGCGGCCTGGGCCGCACTGATGATGTCTCCCGTACAGGAGACGAAGCGTCTGATAAATTGTTGGTATTGTTATACAAGTCGGTGGTATTTGTTTTTAGTCATGAATCCCGGCTTTTGGAACATTTTTGCATGGTGGTTATAAACTCAATCTATGGGCTATTCGCCTCGAGATCGAACCGCGTTGCCACCATGCGGCCCAAATTGGAAACATGTGAAAGCGGGGATACCGCCGTGCGTCGTCTGCTACGGGCGCACATTCTGAAGCATGTATCTCGACGACGCAAGCCCGTTTCCAACTGAGCTGGACCCTCCTAATTACACGCTTGTTGTTTTTGTTGTCGTTTCTTCCTACTAAAGGTTGTATTGTATAGCTTCGCATCCATGGAAACTCAGCAAAGCGATTATTATTAAGTTGGATGCTTCCATAATCTTAGTGTTGTGGTTTGTATACAACCGCTGGTCCCACATATTTTTGTTATCTTGCACCAACCATAGCTTTTATAAAACATTGAATGTTGGTTAAAGCTGTGGTTTGATTAAAAAATTAATCCAACTGATTGTTGCCCTTTAATTGACTAATCAGTTCATAAATTCGTTAGTTGATTTTTCACCGGTCATATTGGGTTAAAGAAGTTAAAACTACACTTTTTTAATTATTTTTAGTATGTCATAAATGGCATAATTGCATTCCCATTTTAAACCTCACGTTGGTGACGCCTACAGAAAATGAGCCTTTTAAAGTGAGGTAATTATTAAGTTATTATTTAAATGGTATAATTACCCTCAATGGCAATCACAAGCATGCTGAAGTGGTTTACCGAGCACGCCTGCGTCCTAAAAGAAATGAAGACATAAAAAATATTAAAGCAAGCATTTTTTGTTTTTACTTTTCTTTACTTTTTTATAACGCAGGATTCTGATTAAACGGGAAAAAAAAAATCGCAATTAAAACATCACTTGAATAACCTGAAGGTTAATGGATGAACTGCCCAGTCCCGATATGCGTTACGTCAGGGCGGAGGGTGATCGGAAAGTCTCGTGAGGGTTGCTAGCCCTCATCAGTAAACTAGTGTCGCTGCGGCCGATGCCGTCTGTGTCGTGGTGCAGGTAGTTTGCTTGAGTTGCAAGGCCTACTATGTTTGAATAAAAGATTATTTAGCCATAAATTTATAATATTAGCCTTTTGACATCCGCAACCCTCACCGAGAAAATTGAACCGGGTGAATCCACACTGCCGAGAAAAGCATGCAATAACATGCAAGCTACTGCGTTGCTCGGTTACACTCATTTGTTACACTTGTGGAATATATATTAGAATAGTTTGTTTCAGTTGTCCTGCCAAGGAACAGTTACCGGATCGTAACTAGAAGAGACACTTTCTCCTCATCCCAATGTAGTAGAATTGTTCCGACTCCGAAAAACTTATTTACCCTATGGCACAGTAAAGGGACACTTTACCTGCAGCGGAACTCAATAGCACGGTAATTTCTGATACAGCGCTAACTTCTTTTCATGCTAACTATTTATATTACTCAAAAGCTAAAAGTTACAAAAACAAAAATGCATAGAACCTGCGACTTCACAGCGTACAGTACCCGTATTATCTTATCCGGCTCGGAATTCATTGTTTCGTTGAATTCCAACGCTGGTAAACTGATACATCTATTTTAAAAGAAACAAATATTTAGCATAACTAGTGCAGTTTACCCGGAGACAGGCATCCGTCGTGGTGGTCCATGCTTCCCAACGTCTGCCTAGAGCAGACGACGCATCCAAACAAACGATTATTTAAATTTAGGCCGTACGCTGGTAACACGATTCGATCTTCACTGAAGCACCGGACGGTATCCGCACCATTTTCCGCTAAAATCGTTTTCTCACCGATACTGTGCGACAAAATAAACACAGGAATCTGCACAGTCTCGCGCGCGAACGTGGAGGGCTTATGGGGGGCGACCATGCTTCTATCCCCACTTTGATGGCAATGATAGCGCGACAGTAGTGCCACCTCTAGGTTGATCTCGTGGCCAATAAGCATCCTAAGTAACCAAACATTACATCCATGGGTGGCCTATTTCTCTATTAACCCCTTAACCGTTTTGGACAAGCCTAGCTCGTCAACATGGAGCCGTACCCAAACCATTCAAGACGAGCATGGCTCATCTACTTTCTCCGGTTCACGCACTCAGCCATTTTGGACTAACCTGCAGGCTCGTTCATGGCTTTGTTTGAGGCTCTGCCAACAGATGGCAGGACTGAATTTTTTTAAATTTTGCTCCCATTCTGTCTGTGTCTAGAAACTTGATTTTGAAGGCATCAAATGTAATTTTCAAGACAAGAATTAAGCAGTTGAGTGTCAGAAATTCTTCAAAAACTAAAAATGGTTGAGGGGTTCAAATCAGTATCAAAGATTCCATTACCTCGGAGCTATTGCCAAAACCAAAGAGCGCCATCGGACGAGGAGAAGAACTTCTCCTCTGCTTTTCCTTAGAGTGCCTTCATACACATGCTTTTGCTTAGCAGTGACTAGTGCCACTAAATAAGCTATGCTTCAGAGTAACGACACTTGGCCAACTGTGGCTTAAAATTATGGTTGCCAGTTACCTTAAGGTTTATCTGAAATCTCAGGAAACGCATTTCAGTCCATCACAAATACTTAAACAGTTTGTGACAGAGCAAAACAATATTGCATGAGCCTCCTAACACCAAATCTAATGCCGAAGAAGTCACACTTTTGAATTATGGCGAGCAGCAATTGCGTCTGCTTTGCATATCAACTAAAATGTTGACGCCCACAACAATGTCGGGGAACAGAGTGCCGATACTCTAAGCGCAGCTCATGTAGTGGCTCTAGTAGTGACATTTCAACCATTTTTCCACCCAATAGATTTTCATGTCCTTTGAAGTGTAGGTACTGTGTACTGAAGCATCTGTAGACCGTAGTTTGTTCTAGGAGGTGGCAGTCGCCAGAATCATGCATGCAGCATCATTGCAGAGGTTCTTACAGCATCATTATATTTTATTTTTACTCGTCTTTTTTTTTTTTTTTTTTTTTCAGCTACCTTACCACAACGTTTGTGATAGAGGCGATGGCCTCTGCAAACGCCTTGGTGCACTGGAAGACGCTGCAGCACTACAAGAGGGTTGTGGACGAGGACGAAAGCAGCATCTCTCGCTCCAAGCAGGAGGACATGGTGGTGAGTCGGCACTTTCTAATGCAGACTGCCTTGTGTTCTTGCATTCTGGCACGGTCTGTCAGACAGGCTTATTTCCACACCACACTCACGACGACGGCACTTGGGCATTCGGGTTCTCTTTGCGGTGCCGTTGTCAGCGCAACTCTTAGAGCGCCTAAGAGTTGCGCTCTAAAAAAGAAACAAAAACAAACTAGTGAAACCAGATTTGGTTCAGACATGGGTTTGTGAAGTGATACTAACAAAAGTGAAAGAAAAACTATATAACTGAATGTATGCTCGTGCTACAACGACACAACAAAACGCAAGTCAGGGTCAGCAGTCGTACGATCATTGGCATTGGTCTTTAAACGAAACAAATTAAAGGACGACAACGGCGCAACAGTGGTGCCACGTGCAGGTGGATTTCAAAGCCGCTGGGGAGGTTCTACTTTGTCATCGAGCCACCGTAGGTAGCATTCTGGACCTAAAAGAAAGGAACCTTCGTTTTGCGCACAATTTTTGTTGTTCCAGCGCATCGACATGGCGAGCTGCAGTCTAAAGCGCCCCCCGGCAGAAGCCTCCCTCCCACCGGTTCAGGTGGTGGTGCGGGGGGCGGGCCTTAAAGGCAAACACGTTAAACGAAACTTTACGGTACTAACCCTGGAAAAGGTACTGCGTGAGTACTAACGACGCCCGCACGGAGACGTGACCCCGGTGGTGGTGGGCAGCGATTGCTGCAGTGGTGTGCTTGCAGATTGGTTGCACAAGGCACCTCAAGGTGTCCCCATTGAATTTTTTTTACGGTTATTCTTTCGTGCTGCAACGTCTCTTTTGGTAGAGCGCAGCCTCTCTATGGTAGGGTTAGTTTTTCAGGAAGAAATGTTTGCGACATAGAGACGTCAAATGCCTCTGCGAGACTTGTGAATACATTTCACTTTGATGTTTTTGTCTTTGGTAGGTTAGTATTTGCTGTAGAGAGGTTCTGCTGTAGTTAATAAGTAGTGTTGCACGAATATTTGAATTTTCTGATATTGGTTTCAAATAATATGCTAGTGTTCGATATTTGCTTTGAGACTAACTGGGATGTTAATTTTTTTCGAAGTGTCGATTGCGGCGGGTTAGCTTCGTTGGGCGCACTTTTGAGCTCCGCAGGTGTTGCTTCTCTGCAGTGCAGCAGTGGTTTGCGAGAAGCGCGCTCGAGGAGGCAAACTCGCCACAGTCAACATTTCAAGAAGTGCAAACATTGCAGTCTGTGTGCATAAAAGAAAAGGACACTTTCAAAGCAGGATGGTGCACACACCATCCTGCTTTGAAACAGAAACGGTGTATGTCAATACCTGCAGTGCAGTAGAATTTTCTAAATTAAAATGTGGCTATTATGTAGGACTATACTAATTAGGCAGAGATGCCCTAACAACCTGTGCTCACCATTTTTTTTTCTTCAATTATTTGAGATTGGAATGATGTTTGTATGTACTAGCATGATTTATGAATCCCCTCAATTGGGTATAACTGGGAATATATATACCGTAAAATACCGGAGGGGCGCCCACCCAACTTTCACTGAAAACTGGGATAATCTAGACATGGGCACTTGTCCGGTCAAATCAGGCACTTAACGTACAATTTGCAGAATTCCCAAGTTTGGGAGATGTTAATAGTGGACACTTGAACAAGGTGGGCGCTTCCACGGTATTTTACGGTAGGTTTAATTTTATGTCGAATCTATTATTTCCTTTGCCATCACAATGTAGGCATTGGACCTTCTGAGGCCATAGTTCATAAATATAGAAATGTTAAAATTAACTTTGCTTAGAAAGGGTGAAGTGGAAGCTTGGGAACCACCTTCGTAAGCTCAGCTGGGTTTTTGTTTAAGCACGATGCAACAGTAGTGAGAGGCAACTATTCGATATTCAATTCAAAAATATTCGGCGAAAACCTCTACTCGCTTTGAAGTCAAAATCCACTACTCGCACACGACAATGGTGTGGAATTATCTAATAATTATTTTTATTTAGTGCTTTAGATTCCTTGAAAAGGTATCTGCAAAGAAAAATAATGTTTTTTCAAACAACCACATTTTTGGAAAAAAAAAAAAAAAAGATATTAGCAATATTTATTCCACAGGACGTAATTTAGTCGCAGTCACAACCTCTCCACATTTGAAACTCCCGCTCATTTGCTCCGCACAGAGGAGAAGTACGCCCCGCCCCTCACTCTTGGATTGACTTGGCTGCGGAGTTGAACGACGTACGCAGCGTCTCGACTTCCAGTGCATCTTATGTGCTACCACAGCCTTTTGTAGCTTCTGCGTTCTGTGTAAACTGCGCGCAAAATGGACCCTGAATTGAAGCGGCAGCTCCTTGGCCGCTGCGAGCAACTGGGTCTTAGGCCATACGAAGATACGTCACGGAGGACAGCTGCCAGCAGCGAAGACGGCGCACCACCTAAGTCCCCCAAGCCTTCAGCGCGCTTGGACGACACCCGCTGAGACACGGAGCATTCAGCTTGTCATGTTTCGGGGCAACGTGGCTGCTGGAAGACTCGCTGTCACTATCACTAATCTGGCAGCACTTTACAGAGCAATGGCGTGACTTTAAGGAGCTGACATCTCCAAAAAGTCGGCATTTCCATGCTGATAAAGCAAAGAAAATGCGCTATGAAAGCAAGGAGAACACCCCAAGAAAACAAAACTAACAACTCGCACTACGAAAGCCAAAACCCTGCGTCGCCTCCTATCACTAACACCTGTGACAGCTGCTAAACACACACTACTTCACTTCAGGAAATGTCACTCGAGTACCTGGGTCAACAGGAAACACTGATCACTTAGGCGAAACGACTAGTCGAGGTAGGCGAGACAGGCGGGAGCAGACAGCAGCGGCCATGGAAAGAATGGCGAAGCTTTTGTTTGTTACAGTATGAGTCCAAAAGGAAGTGGTCGTCTTGTAAACCTTTTGTAAAGAGTAATAACTCTTGTTACATGGGTTATTCTTTAAACATAAAAATATGCCGCTCAAAAGGAAATTACAACATATCACAAAGGTTTAACAACCAAGAGTTAAGCTGTCAATTAATCTCTTAGCCAATGAGAAGAGTTGCTATCGCACATCACTCCGTGACGTATAACAGCCACTCTGTGACGTATAATATCAACTTGCAGCGCACAATCTAAACAGACGAAATAGCTGCAAGTTTAAATCAGTCTCGCGCAATAAATATTGCTGTAAAAAAATTAATTTTTTTCGCCGAAAATTTGTTTTGTGACATGCTTGTCCCAATTAGGCTGTTTAAGAGACACTTTTTTTCTTTCAGTTACCCTTTAAGGCCCGGTGCTGGGCCTTTAAGCAGTTTAAGCACGGAATGGAAGGAACACAGTGACAGTACAAGTAGTTCAGATGAGATATAGGAATTTATTCAGGAATCATAAAACATATGAAATTTGAAAAAGACAAGAATGAAAAGCGCAAGGTAAAGAAATTGGTAGATTCACTTGGGCAATTCGAAAACATTATACAGAAACATCACATATCATCAGGGTACAGAATCCGATACTACCTGAAGTGCTGATGTAGTGAAGATTTTGACTATAAGACCTGCTTTGGTCGGGAAATTAGGGCATGACAGGGGTCTCCAAACTTTGTGGCTAGGGGCCGGGTCAGGATCTGTTGTTGTCTCGAGGGCCAGAATACAAATAAGTAAATGTAAAGAGCAAGAAACTGATTAAATAATTCTAGATCAGCATCTAAATACAAAATTGTATAATGGATTAAAAAGAAGAAGAATCTAAGGTGGATGAAAAGATATACCGTAAAGTTCCGAGAGAATGCCCGCCCCCGAGAGATCGCCCACCCCCCGATTCCCGTCGGACTTCACGCTATGTCCTACGGGAATCGCATCAACCACGCAATTTGCTCTACCGGCACGTCTTACAAGCAAGTTCATAGCGGGTTCTCGCGTTTTTGTCCGCAATCTGCGCTCGCAATATCGGCTCCCATAACACGTGAGTTGTTCCCGCGTGTATGTTGCACCGTGAAATGCGAATCTGCTGCGTCCGCAATCTGCGGTACCTGTTCCCGTAACATAAAGTTTGTAGCGGATTCCCGCGTTTTTGTCCACGATCTGCGCACGTGATCTCGATTTTACTCGAGTTGGTCCCGTGTGTATATTTCATCGTGAAATATGATTCTGCTACGTTCGCGACCTGCGGTATTTGTTCCCCTAACATACGAGTTAGTAGCGAATTCCCGCATGTATATCGCATCGTGAAACGCAAATTTGCCGCGTCCGCGTTTCGATGTATCAGTTCCCTCATCACGTGGTCCGATGCCAGGCTGATTATCATTAATTGTTGATAAAGTTTTGCTGTGGCATCCACAAAGACAGCCCACCCGATGTTTTTCACCATTTATCTCTTCATTTTGGGTGGGCGTTCTTTGCGAGCTTTATGGGTACTTCACTTTGAAATTTAGTATTTAGCTAATTATCACATTAAGCAATAAGGGCAGAAGATGAATGAAAATGATAGAACTGACGCTGATAAAAAGCAATAGATGTGACCCAGGACACTAAGTGCAACTCGCAATAGGGAGAAATGGAGGATGGTCACTCAGCAAACAAATTACAGCTCTCAGATGCTTCAATTTACTCTTCCACATCTACTAAAAAAATTTTTTATTATTTCGATTTTAAATTTTTAGTCTTTAAAAGTTTGCGTTTATATTTCAGCACCTGACTTTTTTTTTCTTTAATGTTCAGCACAATGCTTAATTGTATCTTCTGTAATTTTTATTTTTTTACATGAATGTAAATTTTTTTGTTAGTACATGCTGTTTGTGTGCATCACTTTTTGTATTATGTATTGGCATTTCCTGCACGCTGCAGTTGGCCATTATATGGGTCCGAGGGCTAGTCAAGCTGCACACTGCAGCTTTTTTCCTTGGGCCCCCCGTCATAATGGATGGAAATAAAGATTATTATTATTATTATATACATGGAAATGTAAAGGAATTTTAACATGCATAGTTCTACAAAAGATGAAACAAGATAAAGAATGATGATGCTGGTGACGACGTGTTTAAGGAATAATATAACGAGTGGACACGCCTTATCGATAGGCAGATTTCCCTCGTTTTTTTGTGGTATGTTCGTTTACTTGATTGGCGCACATTGCGAAGCCGTTTCTTTACGTGCGCTTATTTTTGCGCTGGTAGCGGTAAGACGTGGGCCGTGCTTCATTGGTAGTACCGCCGCCAGCCGTAGGCCAGCCGTAGGCCAGTCGGAAGACCTCCGCAGCTGGGTATGGTCCGCGGACCGAGGTTTGGAGGCTCCTGGGAAAATGACGTCCGTTTCCACTGGCTGTCACTTTTTCTATACTCTAGGGGTTTCCAGCAGCTTATGAAAGTGACAACAGAATGTGCTGCAATATTCTTTGGGAAGTTTAATCATACATAGCACTTGGTAGTGCGGGTTCTAATGAGCATTTGATACTTCAAAGGTGCCGCAGACAACAGTTCTCTCAGAAACAAAGCACCAGGTCTGCAGAGTGCGAAGCTGTGGTTGAAGATGCCAAAACACTGATGTGGCAACGATCTAATGTAAAAACTGCACATGAAGTTTATGGTCCTCAAATAGGATGACAAGTCAACTTTAACGTTGCAAAGCTTGCAAACTTGACTTTGTGCTTGGAAACACCGGGACTCTTTGAATGCAAGACTCCATTTATGTTTGTGCATGATACAGCAGTGGCACCTTGCAATACCCCCAGCATGATGCTCTTTACTATGCTATGCACATAACTATGATCCTTTGGGTGCATGATGGTGGCACTGTCGGCGAAACCGGGTTGGTACTCTGCTGTGGGTTGAACCCTCACAGTAACCAAGTCTCTCTTAGTGAATGCAACCTATTCCTGCAAGTGTGAAGGCTCGCATGACATAACTTTTTGAACGCTAACACTGTAGCTGAACTTGAGCAATGGATTATACCTATGAGTAAGCATCTGAGGGCAATAGCCGAGACCATACTAAAAGGAGCCCTTGATTAGGATGTGCTCTTTGCCTTTGCCGATTTCATGCAAATGTTTCGACAGAGTTGATATAGCCACAAGCAAGGAGCTTGAACTGGACAAGTAGCTTTGGTGGTTTTCTTTGTGGGCAAAGGTGCATTTCAACCTCCTGCTGAACTGTGCAGCACGCACATTCTTTGTAAATTGCCTCGTTTTTCTAAGTACTGTGATGGAATGTTTCGTGGGTTTGATTGAAGAAGAATAAGGGCTTAGACTCTATCATATAAATATATGTTGCAGGTTAGCATTAATATTGTGGAAAAGGTGGTAATGTTTAATTTGGGGCCCTCGTCTTTTTTATCGGTGAACTTGTCTGGGTGAACGAATTTTATAGTCCGCGCCACCTTGAAGTGGGAAGTGCTTTAATGAGGTTTTTCTTTTTAATGAGAGGTAAAACTTGACTCTTGATTTACTTTTAACATATTGCGCAGTTATTTTACGACTTGATGGGGTACCGATGTACGAAGAGAGTTTAAGAGGGATCTGGCTTTTTCAGTCGAGCGATGGCTAAAAGACAAATACCTCCAACTTATATAACAATATCAGCAATTTATAAGTAGACGTTTCGTCTCCTATGCGGGAGACATCATCAGTGCAGCCCAAGGATGAAGAGAAGGTCAAAGCAAGCGTTTGGTTGCTGATAGCTAGCCAGGTTGTTCTAGGCTGCACTGATGATGTCTCCCGCATAGGAGACGAAACGTCTACTTATAAATTGTTGATATTGTTGTATAAGTCGGAGGTATTTGTTTTTTTAATCATGCCTCCCGGCTTTTGTAACATTTTTGCATCAAGCGATGACGAAATACTTCCAAAGTTCTAGCTAAAGGGTTATTGTGTTACAAGCATGCCTTCTGTACTAATCACATTTTATGTTTTTTTATTCTTGCACTCTTTTTTTTATGCACAAGAATGGCTTGCGTGCATATCCATGCAGCTTGCTTGTGCTGCAGTATTCGTTTTCAAAGTTTGACAGTTGGAATTGTTTCAAGGTGTTTGTTTGAGGAAGGGAACATTTCCCTCACGCCCGTCTTTGCGCATGTTTTACGGCAGCCTGTATTGTGCGTTACTTCCCCATTTAAACCCTAGACGAATGAACAGACATATAGTTCACGCAAGGACATTGCTCCCAGTAAAAAGGATGACACCAGAATAATCATATGCACCACGCGTGCTTTAAGAGTGTAGTGGCATAAAATGTACTACCACAAACCAGCTTTTGTTACGTTTGTTGTAGAAGGAGCTCAAGACGGATGACCTCATCTCCAAATACCTGGACGAAGACGAAAGAGTTCCTCTCCTCCTGAGCAGTTGAGTCGCTTTAAAGCATTCCTAGTTTTGCTTCCTTGGAAGAAGCGTACCAAACTCCTTGTACTTCAGGTCGGCCCTAACCAATAGCACAGCTAGGGGAGGGGTCCCGCACCCCAACTCATGGTCATCCCAGTCGCATCAACCCCCCACCCCCCTGAAAAAAAATTCCTGGCTACACTGTTGGCCCTAACTCCTGGCCACATTGGGCAGCTTTGAGTGCTCTGTGCAGCGCTTCTGGAAGGGCTCAAGCTTGCGACAGCTTGACGCTCATCCAGAGCTAGGCGCACTGAGTCTAAGTGTGATCACATCCGTTGTGTATTTGAGTTGCCTTTGGGTTTTACTTTAAGTGTTTTTCATTCTGAAATGCCTGTTATTCTAAATGTCTATGAATGAAGCTTTTTTTTTTTAAAGTTTTGTAAAGCTTTCAATTGAAAACTTTTCTTAATAAATTATGTGCAGCAACCCCAAAATGGGTTTTATGAAGCATCCGAAATGTTTGCTACCCCAACATTATACCGGACCAGTATGGTGCTTTATTCAGAGCAGTGTACTGCTTCTACAAATGCAGTGCCATACATTTGGCCTTCTACAGTGCTTGATTATTGTTCGCTAACTGCTATACCTTATGGTGCAATTGTTCCAGATGCAGCCGAACGGATGGCAGAATCATCCCACGTCGACTATTTTGCCATAACCGAACGCTTCGAATTGGTTAGTGCCCTTTTTGTATCGCATATCTTCCTGTCTCAGTCTGCCAATATAATGCCTACTTGGAGCCAATAAAGTGCCTGCTTGTAGCCAACGTTGAATGCATGTTGGCATATGTACCAAGTGCTAGTCTCATAACCACGCTACCAGTGGTTTTCCTATCTTCCGCTGCCGCAAACTTTGACTATCGTAGAGTGCCTTGCAAAAGCAGAGGTGGCATATCAGTTTCTGCCGACTCTTCCAATATACAGTCTAAGCTCATTGTAACAGACCTGGTTACAACAGATATTTGCATATAACATACCGATTTGTGAGGTTCGGTTGGTTTTCCTTTATGCACCATTGACTCAACTTCATAGCTGCACATAACATACTCCTCTTACAACAGACCGAAATCTTGGTAAAAATCAAGGTCTGTTATAACGAGCTTAGACTGTAGTACCAGTTTGCAGTGGATCAGTAGCCGGATTTGTTACTAGTGTCCTCATACTTTTGGCCTTTGGAGGTTTATATTGGCTCACTGCCTGTCTATACTGTCGCCGTGAAAGTTTGCTGTGCCTCTTCCAAGCCACCTTTTCCATTTGTTTTTTTCCTTTGTTTCTGTTATGCTGAGGCATGGAGGAATCAAATCTACATCAGTGATTGCCTGCATCCTACCTTCCTGCTTAATGCATAGCTACATGTCTCTGTTGTTTTGAACAAATTATATTCTCTTTGTTTTTTCAGGGGAAGATGGCATCATTGTTCTTCGGCAAGAGTGAGTGTTGTCACCACTTCTGTTGTCTGCTTTGCCTGGGGTAGTATTTGCGCGTTAAAAAAAAAGTATAAGCATTGGATGTGAGTTACAGCAGTTAGTCTTCCCACATGCATGGTGAACTAGCAGATGTTTTGAGGCCATGGTTCAAACAAGCCATTAACAAAGAGTTCTCAAGAACAAGCTAGTAAAACAAAAATGTAAACAGCGATTTTATGGGGCTGAAGTTGGGCCTCCCATACCCACGGCACATTAGCAGACCGTGCAAGGCCGAGGAACTTAAGCAGGCCTGTGGGCAAACAGTACAAGAGTGTAAGTGGATAGCACAGAACAGATATGTTCGTTTAATCCCTCCATACTGCCCTTCCTTTCTCGCTCACGAGATTGAGTCTGTCAAAACCGAGGCAGTTCGGTCACTGGCAGGGTGAAAAAAGTGGGGAGGAGCTTTAGGTACTTGTCCAGCCTACAGTGCAAGCTTCCTAGTTTCGACGTTGCTTCAGCGTTTTATACACTTTGAGAAGGCATTCAAAAGACAATTCCCTGGCGTTCTCACTCTGTCAGTGACTGCAGTGCACATCTCGTTGCACTTGCTCTCCGGTTGACGAGTTGAAGGCGTTTTGAGTTTGCTTGGAACGATCTCTCGGGCATCTCATTGGTCTTCGCCTCCCTTGCAGTTGGCATCAACCTGTTCTATGTGTGCATAGCAGTGTACTTGTATGGGGACCTGGCCATCTACGGCGCTGCCGTGTCCAAGTCGCTGAGGGATGTCGCCTGGTGAGTCGTGCACTGCTGAGTTTCCTTCGCCTTAAAGGGACACTGACAGGGTTTTTATGCTCACCAAGGTTTTTATTTGTGCATGACTTATGAGAACCCAACTACTCAGAAGCCAATTAGCAGCTCAAAATTTGTTTTCTTTCTGCCTGAAAACCGCCGATTGAGAACTGGCCGGTTTGAGTCTCGCTCATTCTTTTCTCCGTGTTCACATGCCATTTTTATATGGTTTAGACACAACCACCAAAGACAACCGAATTCGTGGGTCGTCGAAGGCACATACTCAATACTAAAAATAGACAAAAATATGATAGCCATTTTTTGTGGCTTCTGAAAAACTGCAAATACGTTGACTAAAAAAAAAAGTTGCTCAGTCACATTGACTTTTTGTAACTTCCTCCTCTATATTTCTTCTTCCTCTCAGTCCAGTTTCGGTTTTGGTTTCGAGCAGTTGCGTTTTTTACTTTATTAACAATATATGTGACGCTGTAGCAAAATATTGATTGGATAATCTTATGTCACCGTAATAAACTGCCTGGGAAAAAATTAAAAAAAAAAAATTTTGGGGAGTTGTCACTGTCCCTTTAAAAGGGTGCTCAGTGCTTTCTGTACAAGTTTGTTTTCGATGGCATATTGTTTGTTTGGCCTTAGTTAATAAAAATGACCAGATCTAGATGTAAACTCGCAGCAATGGGCTGCAGAAGCAAAGCTTAAGAGTGGGGAGTGCCGAACGTCAAACGGCCGCGTGCTCGCTTGCAGCATGTCTACGTACCCGATCACAAACTCAAGCAACGGGAGCATTGCACCGGCCGACGTCCCGTGCTGGCCCGGCTCCCAAATCTCGCGGGCAAATGCCTACCGCATTTTCTTGGTGAGTATCTCTTGTGCTTGGTTTCTCGGCGCAACTTGTGCTACGTTTACATTGAGCGCTGTAAAACTCGCGGCTGTACAAGTAATCATGTAAGTGGCAATAGACCCTTTTGAAAAGTGTTCGCCATTGCCCACCTGCCATTGCCTGGGCACACACTCTGAGCACATGTTGGGCACGAGGGTTGCGTCGACGTTCGACGTAAACATCCAGTCGCATGCTTTGTGCTCCAGAAATGGCGGCCTCCATTGTTGCTCGATGTACTTTTCAAAATGGTCTATTGCTAGTGTAGTGAAGGGATACCGAAGGGAATTCCACCTACCTTGTCTAAGGGTAGTGTCTTCACTTTCTCGGAAGAATCAACGTACCAGCTAATCAATATTAGGCGATATATCGATCAGGCTCCAAACTTTAAAACAAATTTTCTTTCACGAGGTGAATCTCGCAAGAAGGAGCAGCGATCACCATGACAAGCTTGTCCCTTTAACTACCGCATTATTTGGTTTTAATTTCTTTTTATTGGGGAGATTTTAATTAGCTGTTTAATGCTGCACGGTCCTCTACAGGTAGCTTGCACTGATATCGCACCAGCTGGCTTTGTGGTGATCTTGGTTCCAAACGCATACCTACTACATTTTTCACCACCGAGTTTGCTTTATATGTTTTACGAACTGAAAGTATGTTGGTTCCAAAGCTGCACATTGAAGGCTCTTGCTCTAAGGAACGATGCGATACGAGGAAAGAAACATTTCACTAGTTGCTACGAGTTCCCGAGGCTTTGAGATTGTATAAGTGAATGTGTCGTGTGTTTGTTTAGACGACGGAAACTTAGATAGCTTCGATGGGCACCAGGCATCACCGCTGTGGATCATATACTTTAGCTGACAGCACAACGACCAGCCTGGGGTCTTCAGCATGCATCACGCAGTGGCGATACACGACCGCACGCTGGTACGACATTCATCTAGGTCGATGCGGGCAGGGATGGGGGATTGCACCCGGGACCCCTGGGTTCCGCGGTGCAAGCTTTCGCTCCACCTGCTCTGAGCTACGGTCCGTCAACACACTTGGCCGCCGATCTCCCCTCGCGCTCGACCAGGAATTCCCGAGATAATTTCACGACCCGTCTACGTACAAGCTGCCCCGCCCGATGTCTGCCTGCGCTACATGTTCGGGACGTTTCTGCAGGTGGCTTTCCTGTGCCTGCTGGGGCCTTTCACCTTCTTCAATGTCCAGAAGACGAAGTACCTGCAGCTGTTCACCACCCTCATGCGCTGGATCGGTCCGTACCACTGTCCCCCTGCTCTGCTTTTTCGTCTTTTGCACGTCAGAATGACGCTGGAAGAGAGTTGCACTTTATTTTCGTTGGGCTAAGCCCATGCCACGTAGAAGGAAGTGTTTATGGGTTTGAAGCTAACACTTCCCTTTGCACACTTCATGAATATAGTTAGTGAAGTGCTCCATGCTTCACTAACCGCTCTATCAAGAAGTGAATGCATATTTTGACCATATGTTGATTACCGACTTTGCGCCATGAGAATACACATAAGGGGTGACTAGCCATTTGTCAAATAAGACGTCATTGATTTGCCCAGCCGGTACACGGCATCTACCGTATTTACTCGATTCTAAGCACCCCCTTTTTTTCACACCCGCGATGTTCAAAGAGGGGGGGGGGGGGTTGCTTAGATTCAGAACATGTCCCAAAAATACTAAATTTGCACAAGAAATATGAATTTATTATAATCAAAATGAAAGAATGAATGTTCTAAAGGAAATAAATAAAGTAGCCCACTTGCCATCAGTTTGCACCACGGTCGACTAGTCACTCTAGTGACTAGTCTTTTGAGGATGATGTAGGGCGCAAGATTCCAACCGTCGGCTGTGATGCACAAGCATTATGGTCACCCTTTGCTTTTCATAGCTAGTCGTACACACATTTACTTTTCAAGCGTCTACTTCATTCACGGTGCACGCCCTTGGCATGTCGATGTACACCACGACCTCCTCTATAGTGTTCTGATGTACACCACGACATGTACACAGAGGTCTCATCGGCATTGCCAATCTTCCCGAGTCCGTAGCGAGATTCGCGACGCAGCTTCGTCACATAACGTTGGAAGTTGACAAGCTTGTCCTCGGAAGTCCAGCGGTAGCTTCTGGCAGATGGTGGTGTGGCGTCTCAAAGAGAAACCATTCCTCTTCATCATCTGCTCCACCCAGCCTCGGCTTTCGCGGAACGCCGCACTCCGAACTGTTCAGCAGCGCCGTGTTTTCCGTTGTTTTCCGCGTAAGAAATAACCGTGCTCTTGAACTTCATCGTGTATGAAGTTCTCTTCGCACTCATGACGGACGACTTCCACAAACCACGTGCACACAGTGAACGGAACACGATTGCGAGGCCAACGCAAACGAATAGGCTTAACAGGCTAAACAACCGACTGCAACAAGCGCAAGGAGACCAAACATACCAAACATCTTCGATAGAGGGTACGGCAACGCACCCTCTTTTGCAACCTGCACGGATGTGAAAGTGGAAAATGGTGGTATGTGCTGCCATCTATTAACTTACGTTGAAACCAAGCGCCAGCGGCCGTTCGCAGCTCCGGCGCTTTGCGATACCGGCGTCTCCGATCTCAAATTTGTTGTTGGGAGGGGGGTGCTTACATTCGCATGCAAACTTTTTTTCAGGTGTTTATATTTGAAAGTAGGGGAAGCTGCTTAGAATCGGGGGTTGCTTAGAATCACAAAAATATGATACTACTCTTTCGTCAGCTCAAAAGCGAATAGAACATTCTGTCTACACCTTCCTCTGAGTGTGTGCTTCTTGTGTCTTGAATGAGAAGCATCAATGCACCACGTGTAGCACGTTCTGTGTGACATATCTTCGTGCACGTGAAAAGTAATTTTGTCGACACAAAGCCCGGAAACATTGTCTTGTACCGAATTTTGTATATGTGCATGCTGGTATGGTTGTTTGAAGGTGCTAATAATATAGGGTGAGCAACGATGACCTGCGGCATACTGCCATATCTCGTCGCAGCTGCCAGAAATACAGGCAGAAAGAAGCGTCGCCATTCGCAGGCATTGTGCCGAAACAAACGTTTGCAAGGTATTCTGCGCACCTGTCATCATGGAAATGCCCCAAGGGACGCGCCCGCAGTACACCTTGCATTCGCTGGTGCTTGCTAGGTGTTGCTTATACTGCAAACAGTACCACGCAATATAAAGTTAATTTTTCTACCGCAAGGCGTAAAATAATGTTTCTCTGGCGGCCTATTTACAACACTTGTTCAGTTCAGTTCAGTATTCCCCAAAGACACTTCAATAAGGTGTAATGGTGAATGGGAGGCAGTAGAAAAGGCTGTGTAGTCTTATCAAAGCCCTGGTCTCCACACTCGACTTTATTAACATATAATACAACACAGAACACGGCATAAAGCTAAGCTGCTATGCACAACATGGGGCAAGAAGTTCATAGAGCGAAACGAAAAGGCAGCCACCTGTGACAGTAGGAAGTATTGTTAATGTCTAGAGAATACAATAGTGGACATATATGTGGGTACATACCCAGCATTCACGACCTCGCATTTTTTTAGGAAAACAATCGTCCATGAAATAAAAGGGCTTGCAGCAAAAGGAATGAAAGCTATCTTTAAAGTCATTTTAAAATACAGCCGATCCTCGTTTTCAGATGCGGTGGTTTACATTTTCAGTGGTATATTTGCACGGGCAGATTAATTCCAACCGTGAGCGGTTATTAGGGATTCTAGAACTTTGCTACCTCTCAAAAGGAGAATGACGCACCCTTTTTTTTTTTTTTACATAACTTTTTTTACGGTTTTATGGACTGTCTTATACTATGTTTTTATCGCTGTACCAGATAGCACTTTTCTCCCATCGCGTGTTTGGTTGGTCCCAGCCAAAAAGCATGCGACCCCCTGAACGCATTTAACATAGTTTCAATGGGTCGAAAGTGGCAAACTCATCCGAGGTACATACTTTTACGCATGAAAATATTAGTTTTTGATTACTGCTCAAGCTTCCTCAAGTGAATAACTTCTTGTGCGTTACTTTTTTACGATTGCTGCTTGGAGCTATCCTATGTGCCTTTCTTTTCTGCAATGTCACTATTCACATTTCTTTTAGGTTCCATATTCATATCCGATAAGGTTTCTAGCTTGATTTTTCTCAAGCACCACTTAATTTTTTACAACTCATTTCGTGTTAACTAGCTATGCATGCTTTTGTGTTTTATATTTATGTTAGAGTGCATTTACCTGACAATAGATGCACCCTTCTATACACCAACTCAACTCTCCTACGTCACGCCGCGGTGGTGGCGCGCCGGACGCACTTCCGGTCTGGGGCGGTGGGCAGAAGTCGCCGTGCCAGACATGCATTCCTGTGTTATTTTGGAAGAAACGAGACAAAAAACCTGCTTTCTCGTCAAAATGCTGCGATGGGGGCTTTACCAAGACAGTCTGGAAAGGTTTGAAGATCAGTTTTCATGTGTTTTTGCCCCCTCCGTTCGTCCGAGAACGTGGATAGTAGCCGTAAATAGGGCAAACCAGACACTGTCGAACTACGATTGCTTGTGCGGGCAATACTTTGTGGTCGCCAGATGTATTTGCTTTGTTGTAACATGAACGAGAGAAAACCCCCAAGTTGTCCGGACCACCCACGGGCTCAGCGCGTCTTCAAATTCACACGGCCGCCTGATCGTTTGAACTTTCGTCTGCTCTTTCAAAGTTGTCTGCTTTGTGTCGTCTGCTCGTTCAAACAAAAGTGGCCCGTAGACCAAACTTTGACCCGGTGATTGCAATAAGAAGTAATTGCAGGCCTCAAAAGGCTTAAGTAGGCTCGGTGTAAACAGTAGATACAAGATGTTAATTATTGGTACCGGTGGCCATCACCTACTTGTTACGCTTGGTCTGTTCTCGCTTCCGATTTTCAGTATCGACGTCGATCATCGCCGCTACCTTTTACACTTTTGCAGCACGAGCGACGTCGCGACCGAAAATAGCTACAAGAATCTTATCATGGTTTTGGCGTCCATTCTGCAGCGTTCATGCGAATGAATCGCCGCACGTCAAATTATTTACGGAAAGTTTAGCGGCGTAACGAGCCTTGATAATTTCGCTCAGGCGATTCAAGTGGTAAGACATTGCGATGAGGACGTAGAATCGACAACTCCAACGCGAAAACGAGTATGCAGACTCACACAGACGCCGACAACGTGACATTCGAATAGTTTGTTGACGCGGTACGCGATGCTTCTTGTCCGTACTCCATTGCGCATGCGTTCGAAGTGTCGTCTGCTCTTTCAAACTTGGCTGCTTTTTGTCGTCAGCTCGTTCAAACGACAGCGGCCCGTAAACCAAACGTTGACGCGGTAATTGCGATAAGAACTAAGTGCAGGCCTCAAAACACATTTGAAGGTTGGTTGGGGTAAGTCGGCTAAGTGTAAACAGATACAAGAAGTTGTTAAACATTGTTACCAGTGGCCATCACCGACTTGTAATGCCCGATTCTACTTGCGGTTTTCAGTATCGACGTCCACCATCTCAGTTACGGTCCACGCTTTTGCAGTCTGAGCGACGTCGCGACTGAAAATAGCGAGCAAAATCTCATCGTGGGAGTCAGGCTTTAGCGCCCATTCTGCGGCGTCCACGTGAAACGAATCGCCGCACGTCACATTATTCACGCAAAGTTTTGCCTCGATAGTTTTGCTGAAGCCGCTCAAGTAGTCAGAAATTGTTAGGAGGACGTAGAATCAAGAATTCCAACGCGAAAAAGAGCACGGGGACTCCCACCGACACCGACAACAACGCAATTCAATGGTTTGTTTATGGGCGACGGCGGGCTTCTTGCCCACCATCCACCGGGCATGCGCGGCGCCGGTGGCGTCCGCTAGGGGCGCTCCGGTTTGTTTGTAAACATGAGTTGGTGTATAGGCCCACAGGCTGTTTAGGGGCACCTCGAAAGATAAATAAATAAAAATAAATAAATAAGCAGGACTGCGTCTCAGTTGAGTCACTTCAAAATTTGGTTTTCTGTACCCCTCCGCAGTTTCAAATTTACATAAATTGAGTAAAAACGACAAATCAAATTGAAGGGGAAAAACCGGTGCAAAAGGCGAAAGACAAGTAATCTTGTCCTCCTTCCTTTGCGCCGTTTTTTCCACTTCAATTTGACCAACCGACTGGCCCAACTCCACGCCTCGTTGACAAGTCAAAATGACAGATTCCGTGAGGAAACTTCCATGAAATTCAGTCTTCCCCAATTTGGAGGGACTAGCTGTATTAATTGCTGTTAGAGAAGCAGGTTTTAAACGGACACTACACCTAGGGGAAAATAACTTTTTTTTTACCTACTTTATTAGGACATCAATGTCTTAAATTAAACGTTTGTTAAAAAAAAAAAATAGAAAAAACCTTTTTTTGACAAATTTATATGTTACAGTAGAATTTTTTCGATTTGAGGGCAAAACCGAAACTGTTTTCCTGTGGGATGATGATGATAGTCTTCATACTCAACAAGTGGCGCTCTGAGATCCAGTGAACTCGGAGCATGCACAGGTTGGGTACAAACGCTGTCATCATCATCATCCCACAGGAGTACAGTTTCTGTTTTACCCGAAAATTGAGAAATTTGCATTGTAACATAAATATTGGGCAAGAAACAAAACATTTTTTTTACAGCAGAGCTGTTAAGGTCTACATTCCCCAGTTTCGTGTCCATCACCAAAGAAATGTCGACAGAAAACTGTAGACAGCTACCGCCATCTATTAGCGACAGCAGCAACCAGACAACCGGCTTGCCAGTTGTCTGGTTGCCGTCGTCGCTTATAGATGGCGGCAACCTTTCCAAGGGGGAGGGCCTTTCCGCTCTGGTTTTCACCAGAGTGGAAATGCCGAATTTCTCTAGGTGGTCATCCTAAAAGTCGTCCTCAAGGGCGATGCCTAGAAGTCATCCTTGTAATCGTCCTAGGCGTCGTCCTCGAGGTCGTTCTCTAGGCGTTGTCCTTGAGGTCGTCCAAAAAGTCATCCCACCATAGTACAGCTTCGCTGGTCTTCTTTCTTCACCAAAGTGGAAAGGCTAAAACTTTTTCTGGGTTTAGTGTTTTTTTAAGTTGTCCTCTTTTTATGCAGCCTTCACGTCGATGATCGTGCTGTGTGCCTTGGTGTTGGGCCGGGGGGAGGGCCAGGGGCGTCCCCCGCTGGCGGCCCCCGTGGGCCTTCCCAACCTGTTTGGGGTGTGCGTGTACTCCTTCATGTGCCACCACTCCCTGCCCTCCCTGGTCACCCCCTGGAAGGACAAGAGCCGCCTGTTCTCCCTCCTGGCCGCAGACTACCTGGTCATCCTCGGCTTCTACACCCTGCTCAGCTTCACCGGCATATTCACCTTCCCGCAGCTGAACGACATGTACACCCTCAACTTCCAGGTGAGGCTCGGAGGGGGCGTGCGATTGCCGGAGATTTCAAGCGGCCAATTTCAGTGGTGCCAATTTTTCAAGTAGGAAAATTGGCACCATCGAATGTTTTTAGCAACTGAAGGTTGGCACCCCTGAATTAAGTGGAAAAGTGGTACCATTGAGTGTGTTTAGAAATTGGAAAATGTGTGCAGTTGAGCAAATTTTGTATTTAGAAAATCGGCACCATTGAATGTATTTAGCGGCTGGGATTTTGGCACCGTTGAATATGCTCAGTAAGTGGAAAATTGGCACCATTGGCCATGTTCAGTAATTTGAAGATTGGCACCATTAGACACATTCAGTAATTAGAAGACGCACCATTGAAGACATGTTTGTTGGCTTGATCTTTTCAACATACAGTGGGGCCTTCCTACAGAAGAGAGATATAGCAAAGATATGGCTACAGCCAAGCAAAGTGAAAGCGTGCTTGTAATTCTGGTATATATACCGTAAATGCCCCACCCCCGAAAGATAACCCGCCCCCTATTTTCGACATGATTTGCTATGTTTCCAAAAACACCAAAAGATAGCCCACTTTTAGCAATTGCAGGGTCTTGTATAGTGGTGACCTCGGCAGGAATGGCGTTACTCAGCCACGGCGGGAGATGCACGAACATTGCTGACTGGGAAGAACAGTCATCTTTGGTTCATCATCCCTCCCTGCAGTCACAAGTTTCGCAGGTCACAAAGTTTAAAACTGGCATTTTTTATGCTTCTTTTAGTGCACACCGAAAGTTAACCCACTCCTTATTTTCGCAAGATTTGCTTTCGATTTAAGAAGGGCTATCTCGCAGCATGTAACGGTAGGTATTTGAGGTAGAGCACTGCAAGTGTCCGAACCTACATAAAAGCGTGTGTTGCAGGGAATGGCAACGTGTGAGATGTTGCGAACAAGATAGAACCAATCCATCTTTTTCAGAAATATGGGTTTGAGAGTAAATGGATTTGGTACCCCGCTTCCTGCTGGCTGATCAGAGAGTGAAGATGGCGTCCGTGTGAACTTTGGTGCCTTGGATAATCCCCAATGGGGACAAAAGCGATGCTTGGGACAGCTGTATCTAGGTCACGGCATCTCAGCGACCAAGCAGAACGTAGATGGAAGTTGTGGGGTAGGTCGTAGAAGCCACGCGAGCGCATATTGTCTTCTAGTCATTGAATCTCAAACCCAGCTGCGCATCCAGGTTTCAGCACTCGTTTGGAAAAAGGGTGATTAACCCTTTGTGTTTGAGGAAAGACGAACAGAATGTAGGGCAGCAGGATGGAAAATGGGTGATCTTCTCAATGGGGGTGACTTAGCTGTCCTTCTCTCCCTTTATTTTTCCAGCGGGAAAAATATAGTTATGAACTTTGTTTGCCTTGTATACCATGCACTTCTGGGGTTACACTGCAGAAGCTGTTAGTGATTCTGAATTGCCTTTGTTTGGCTGCTGGGTCTTCGATTTCCTTACATTGTTGTAAAGCTTTTTGTTCATAAATAGACTTTTTTGTAAACTGGTTGCACTGTGGCCCATCGACTCTTGGCAGAGTAAAAACCGCCGAACATTCTCATCGCCGCTTCTTTTACAACGACAGCTGTTTTGGGTTCTTCCCACTATTGGAAGTGACTTTCACTGTAGTTGTAGTTGTTAATTTTGTGGTTGATGTATTAGGGTGTAAAATGTCCATTGTCAATGTTGCCAAATTTTTTAGAACGATGGCTTGCCACCCACGGGATTCTATTTTGGGTTTGCCGCGTGTGAAACAGGCACATTGCTACTGAGCTACGGCACAGCTTTCACTAGGTTGCCTCAATGTCCTGTTTAGGACGATGCCGTTCTTCGTAGTGCCCAATGCCGGCTGCGCGTACCTCTGGAAAAATGCAAAGAAATAGTCGATAACAAAATGTCAAGAGCTTGTGCCGGGAGACATGCTTTTAGATGCTCCGAAACAAATGAGAAACAAAAGCGTTCGGAATGAAATGTTCAGATGTCTGTTTTGTTTCGAACGCTTTCGTTCACACACCCCCGAAGCATCAATGTGATGCCGACTCCCAATGACTTTTTCATGATTGTACCGTAAATTGACGCAGGACTGCTCTTTTCTTTCTCCCTTCCGCACGCAGCCCGGAAATAACACGGACAACATCATCCCGCACATCCCGGTCCTGCAGTACTTTCTCTCCCTCTTCCCGGTGTTCACGCTGAGCACCAACTTCCCCATCATTGCCATCACCCTCCGAAACAACCTCAAGGCGCTCTTCCTCCGCGACGACCAGCGTCCCCGGTCGCCGTCGGTGTCTTCCTCGACCCCGCCGTCCCGGTGCCACGGCGCCCTCGAAGGGCTCGTGCTTCCCCTCGTGGCGCTGCTCCCGCCAGTGGCGGTGGCGCTCGCCACCGAGAGCGTCGAGTTCCTCGTTGGCTTCACGGGGTCGTACGCCGGCGCAGTCATCCAGTACGTGATACCGGTGGCACTGGTGTACCGGGCGAGGAGGCAGGTGCTGGAGGCACTGGGCCTCGGCGTGAGGAACCAGCACGCGTCGCCGTTCCGCCACGGCGCGTGGCTCTGGTTTGTGCTTCTGTGGGCCGGTGCTTGTGTGACGCTGGTGACCGTGAACCACATCGTGGTGAAGGCGTGATTGTGGCGGCCGCCGAGGCGGTCCGGTCGTCGGCTTCTAGTACAGAGTGGTCTGGAACGGTCCGGTGTAGAATGGCCTGCTCGTTGAGTTCTGTCTAGAATGGTCCGGTCTAGAATAATCCGATCTAGAATGATCTATTTACATTGGTCCGGTCGAGAACTCAAGTGTAGAACAACCTGGACAAATTGTTCAATGTAGAATAGTCCATTGATTGACTTGGTCTAAAATGATCCAGAGTGAAATGGTACGGTCTAGAACAGCCCAGTCTAGAATGGTCCGGTCTAGAATGATTTCATCTATAATGATGCAGTCAATAACAGTTTGGTTGAGAATGGTCCGGTGTAGGACAATTTGGGCTGGAACAGTTTGGTCTAGAATGATCCTGTCATTGAGTTCGGTCTAGATTGGTCGAGACTACAATGACCCAGTCTAGAATAGTCTGGTCTGGAACGGTCCGGTCTAAAACGATCCAGTCACTGACTACTAAAATGGTCCCATCAGGGCTTGGGGTTACCTAAGGGAGGTTACTTGGTGAGAGTTATGTACTTAAGTGGTGCAGACTCGGTCTGCTCTCTACTCCAGTGCTGGTCATGCTGTGAGGTGACTCGGCAAATGACTGTCGGCATGCTGGATTTATTAGAATGTATCGCCGAGTTACATATCACACTTAAGTTGCATCAGAAGTACCTGGCCGGGAGCTTTTAACTAGACGCAATAACGCGAGGTTGTAAGGAAGTGCCTGTAAAGACCACATTTGGGCGCGTTATAGCGCACACCGCCACGGCAACTCTGCAAAATACTCCGGCAAGATTTTTTAAGACGGCGGCTCAGGGATGCGTCGTTGGTGCAGCAACGTTCTGCGCGTTGCGTCTGGGAGGTTGGCGACTTCGTAGCAATGGGACACTGCCATACAAAACTTTTTCAGGATTAGAGCGCCGGCATGACAGAACTGAAACGTGCACGTACTACCTTCGCAACATGGTGTCCTCAACAACTTTGGATCGCCGGTCGATTTGGGGTAGGGTTTAGTTCAGTGCACCAGGAACGCGAGTGGACCGCTTCGGTTTCCAGTCTTCCATTATGGTAACTCTGATTTGGTTTACATAATTTTTCCCCAGTTTCTGGTTGGATGCAAAGCCCTGGTCGCTTTACCTGCGAGAAGACAATCGTTGCTCGGTTCCTTTTGCCATACTCGGTGTGAAATGTCGGTTTCAGGAGTGGTCGGAATTTTGTGTGTGTTCAGGACGACCTTCGTAAGGGGTCGGTCGGCGTTCTCGGTGTAAGGTGTAACGGCGTCTTGCTGCCATACTGTGGTGTGACTTGCACCGTAGGTGTGTGTGTGTGTGTGTGTGTGTGTGTGTCCTTGGGTTTGTGAAAAAATACCTTTTTTTCAGAAGCCAGTTGTCAATAGTAGGTTTTAGCAAAATTGTGGCAGCTCAGAAGAATTTGTTAACGGCCGAATTGTAGATAAGATGCCCGAGCCGCCAGGATGGGATTTTTTTTTTTTTTTAAATAACTTGACAATAGCGTGCGACATAGCACACGAGGCTTTGAGGATTTATCGGAAACGAGTCTGTACGTCTATGAAAAGTTGCATTCTCAACTGCTCGCAAACACTCAGAGATTCAGAGCGACCGCAAGTGTGGTTGTCATGTCATCGCTATCGGCTCTAAGGCAGACCAAGCCAAGTCGAACCGCTGTCACTAGCTGGAGCTTATCAGTGTTTCTCTTTGAAATGAATGATGACTCGGTAATGGCGAGAGGAAGGGACCAAGTTCCGTCTGTGAAAACCGGCTTGGCACGTGCACTTTTGGGACCAAGGACAGCCTACCGCGAGATGGGGCTTGATTTCGGGCATTGGGACGTGCGGTAAAATTATTTTCAAAACCTTTCCCAAGCTTTGAATCTCTGTTGGTGTACATTTGCATAAATCTAAATTTTAAGGAGTAAATGCTTCAACTGTGAAAGTATGAGTACAGAAGTGCACAACTCCATCTCTTTAAGGAGCTATGGTTGTTTTGCTTTCTTTCCTGGCCCTGTGGTTCTGTCGGCAATGACATCCTTCCCATTCCAAAATTAGGTTTTAAATGTGTGTGTTCTCTTTTCATGTGCCCTTCTGCTGTGACCACGACTATCTTGTGGTAGTAGGAGCAACTCAAAACTGCCACATTTTTAAATAAAAACATAGGGACCGGAATGTTTTTTTTTTAGTAAATGAGGGAAGTATTTTGTGTAGGTATTTACGGGTGTGCACACGTTGCTGTGCAACAAACGAGTATTGGAGAAACACTATAGTTTTTGTCGGAGAGGTCTGGCCGAGTCTTTTTTGAGATCTTTGAAGTTGAACGAAGGTTATTGATGAGAGTTTAGCATATTCTTGTACTGGATATCCTAGCCGTGCCTTTCACCAGGTTTACATTTTATCCAACGTCGGAAATTCTGTATTGCTCTTTTTATGGAACTTTTTTTTGTTCCATTATTTTTATTGTTTGCTTTGTAGGCCGATGTCAAAATGGAATGTTCGAAGAGGCAAAAAACATTTAATATGCCAGCAGGTTTTTAACTCTTTTTACATTAAGAAATATTTTAATGCAATGACTGTGTAAAATTCTAGTCTCTTTTTGGTTTAACTTTTTCTTGAATATTTTTTGTTTGCCTTCTCGCAAAGGATGGGGTGGAGCCAAATGCTTCTTGTGTTTTATTTTACATTGGCTTTGTTGTCTTCGTTTACGCTTATTTTTTCGGGGTTGCCTTCAACCTTTAGATGTCGGTTGATTTTGTCGCCGTGTTTGTTGGATGGTTCCTTATAGTCGCGTAAATCTGAAGGAAGCTTGTGGGGCTAAATGCGAACCCCCTCAAACCAGTTTGCATTTTTATGTGACAAAGTTGATGAAACGGTGACACATTTTTTAAGAGCAATGCCGAGACAACAGCCAAAATATGTATACACCTTTTTATTCTTCCAGTCGATAAAAAGAAATAAAATATGCCCCCCCCCCCCCCCCTTTAAGTGTTTACCTCCATTGTCCTTGTGCACGTTAGACCGCAGTTCAGATCTGAAAAGAGATTAAAATGGAATAAATCGAGAGCAAGTAATCCTTACACCGCAAATACTTCCAATTCAGAATAGCATAATTAAGAATATCACCCATAGGTGGCATCACTACTGAAACTTTTCACAAGGGCCACCTTTTAAAAAAAAAGTTAAGGATGTTTCAATATCTCGAAGTGGGAAGGGTGTATGACGATTCCGCGCAGTACCGCCCAGGTGGGAATATAAATGCGGCTCATAGATTGGACCCGAGCATTGCGTGGGCACTCGATTTGGGCTCGTAATAATTACTAGCTCGAGAAGCATTCGGGTAGTGACCCGTGTCCAATCGCTGCGTTGATGACAATAGCGGAGCCATAACAATGTCTGGAACTGAGCGCGTGTCCTGTGCCTCGCCAACCCCATGCGCGTGGCTGTGATCAACAATGGCGGCATATTATCGGCTCCAGATCACGCGACCGCTTGTTCTGGCTGCAAGTTGAGGAGGGGAACGCTGCTCGTTTTTCTTTCATTTTTTTATGCGACTTCGATCGCGTCTGGTGAAGAACGGGTGTTTCAGGCGACAAATATAATAACTCCCGAGTTACAAGGCTTTGAATATGCCACCGGGTTGTCATACGATGTTTGGCATTTTTTACCTCAGTAAACAGAAAATATGAAAGTATTTTTCTTTGAACTAAAAAATAGTCGGCGTGACATATGAGCACACGAAAAATTACTGTTTTTTGTATGTTTTTTTTTTCTTGTATTCATACTGACGTACAGAACTGGGCAGAAAAATCACGGAGTAAATGACAGATTTCCACCCGATTTTCAAGTGAGAAAGTGTTTCAAAATATTTGAAAAGCGGTTTTGTTTTTACAGAAATAAAACAATTGCATATTTTCTTCTTAATTTTTTTTTTAATTAAAGGCTTTCTTCGGCAAGCGTGTTCAATTTCAAATGAAACCACCCAATTTTTCACCTTAATATAGCTCCTTCTGTGCACCTGTTCGCCGACGATTGTGTCATTTACCGACCCATTCTTTCATACCACGATCATCATGCTCTCCAGGAAGACCTTGAGTGTGTAATGCATTGGTGTGAAAAATGGCAAATGACGTTAAACTTCAATAAATGTAGGCCCCTATCATTTTCCCACAGTTCGCGTGCTACACCATTTTCGTATTACCTCAGTAACACTCAAGTCATAGCATGCTCATCATATAAATTCCTGGTTGTTCATCTCACCTATGACCTACCATGGACTACTCGCATAACTTCTGTTATTTCTGATACTAACCGTTCTCTCAGATACTTGCGCCGTAACTTCAAACTTGCTACACTCTCCGTAAAATGGCTAGCGTATACTACTCTTATAAGATCGAAGTTAGAATACGCCTCATCTATAGGTCCCCATGGCAGTCCTACCTTGCAAATAATCTAGAATCCGTCCAAAACAGACCCCTTTGTTTTATTTATAACAACTGCTCACCATATACCAGCATATCAGGATTACGCCAATCAGCTAACCTTCATTCACTTTCCCTTCGCCGCCGAGTATCACGCCTTTCTCTCCTCCGTCGAATTTTTTTATCATAATAGCCACCTCAAAGAATCACTGCTATCACCCCCCCCCCCCCCCCCCCCCCATTGTATTTTCCCGTTTCTCACGAGACTTCCACACTACCATTGGCCATCGAGGATTGGAATTCACTACCTCATAACATAGTTTCTATTAGGTAATGATACTACTAAATTTGTTGAAGCCATTACGCTCTCTTTATCTAACCTACCTAGCTATAGCTTGCAGTGGTACTGTTCTATTTGTTTTTGTTCTATTGCCACCCCCTTGTGTGATGCTCCACGGGTCCTCAAGGAAAGTAAATGATGATGATGATGACTGAAGGCACACACTCAATACTAAAAATTAGTGATGGGCTGAACTTTTGCCGAATCTTCGATTTCGGCAAAGCCGAACTTTTGCCGAACTTTTCTAAAGATTCAGCAAAAATGCATTGTTACCCGTCTTAACGTTGATATTTAGTTTTCTTCTGACGAACAAAAGTGCGCAGACATTTGCCGAATTTTCGCCGAATCGTTGCCGAACTTTTCTTTAAAAGTTAGACGTGTGCCAAACTTTTCTTCAAAAGTTCGACATGTGCCGAACCTTGCCGAATCTGAAGCTCGGCAGAGTCGGTCCATCACTGCCAAAAATGGACTGAAAATAAAACTCCCAAGTACATTCACTAAAAAAAAAAAAAATTGCATTGTTACGTGTTTTTGCTAACTTTCTCCTCTCCCCTATTTCTTCTCCCCGCTTCGGTTTCGACCAGTTGCTTTTTTTTTTTTTTTTTTTACTTTATTAAATATATACGTGACGCTGTAGCACTGTATTGATTGAGTATTGTCTTCCGACACCATAAAGAATCGCCTGGCAAGAAATAAAAGCCGCATTGGCGAGTAAAGACACCGGTGTGATGTCACCTCAAGCGAGATTAGATATGCCGATATGACGTCATAGTTAGTGTCTCGCATTCTTAGGATCACGATAGGCCTCATAACGCTTTCGGGTGTCCCCTACGCAAGTTTTCGTAGACCGCGTTTCCCCTCCGCTAAGCCCTGCGCAACGAAGAAGCCGCTACTGCGCCTGCGCGCCCATGGCCTTGACTGTAGAGTTCCGCGTATCGTAGCGGGTTGCGGAGGGCGTTGCGGGACGGCGGAAACGATCTACTAAAACTCTTTATTATCGAAGTGTCACGTTTTTATAACTGGCTTCTGTAAGCCAAAAAAACAAAAACATTTTTTTTAACGGCCGTCGCGGAACATTTTGCAGCCTTTTGAATGTTTATACTTAGCTTTCAAACACAGGACCCGCGTAGCTGTTGTCAGCGGTCCACTCCCAAACTTTCAGTCTGTGCCCCCCCTTTCTTTCTCTCTCTCTCTTTCTTTCTTTCTTCAACTGTGTTAATCTTTGTATCGTTATATCAACTTTCGAGAAAACGAAAAGCCACGTTTGGGGTTTTGTCCCTCTTTTCTGGTCTGGGGGGAACTCTTATCTAGGTCACAGTCACACAGTGTGACAACAGGACATAGTGACGTCACTGCAACAAAAGAGTTTTATTTCAGATACTCCCAAAACGCCAGTTCGGAAAAAAATTTCCGATATTTCCACTTATTTGCGCTGGGGTCATGCTCACTTGCAACGTTTTCAGTATTGCAGAAGTTTTGCTACGGCAGCTCTCTGCGACGAAGCTCTGTGCTGGATGCCGGAATGTTATTGGCGAAGCCATATCTAAATACGAAGCACAAAAATTAAAGCGACTGTTTCAAGAGCGGTGGAAACTCGCCTACTTCTTCACACTATATCGCGGGACAAAGTGTTGCGTTTGATTTGCCAGCAGGCCATTTCTGTGCCCAAGGAGTATAACGCCCGACGACACTTCAAGCTCATGCCATGGCGAGAAGTGTGATGCGCTTGCTGAAAAAGTCGCGGCTTTTCAACTTAAGACGTCGCTGGGAAAGCAACAAGACCTGTTTCAGAAAGCCGGCCAGACAAACGACGAAAGGGTAAGAGGGAACTTCATTGTCCCTGAGCTTATTCCAAATCCTCAAAACCGTTCAGCGATGGCTCCTTCATCAAAAAGTGCCTTCTAGAAGTTTCTGACGCCGGATGTCCAACCATGAAGAAGACCTTTGAGAAAATAGGCATTTCGCCGAACACTGTGGCTGAAAGGATTAACGAGATCAGTGACGACATTGAAAAATCATTGATGACTCTCTGCCGCGCCTTCGACGCATGTTCAATCGCTGTCGACGAGAGCACTGATGTCACGGACAACGCTCAGTGCGCCATTTTCGTCTTTACTTTTCGTCTTTACGGTGGAGCTCTTGGATCTCGTGCCAATGAAGGGAATGACCACACGAGCCGGCACCATTTCCGTCATCAAAAACAACCTCATCTCCACGTGGTGAATGATGTTGATTGGGGCGAAGCTCTGGTGGTGCTTGTCTGCGTAGACGCTGAGCCGCAGCATGCCGAGCCTTTCGTTCGTTTTCATCCATGTCACGCTGCGCTCAAATGCGTATGTAACCACGTTCCATACCGCACATTCTCTTTCTGACATGAATGAAAACGAACGAAAGGCTTGGCATGCGGCCGCTCGCCGTCTACGCAGACAAGCACCACCAGAGCTTCGCCCCAATCAACATCATTCACCACGTGGAGATGCGTTTCTTTTTGCCCTACACGAGCACGGGAGCACGTGCTCGCGTGCTCGTGAGCACGTGAGCGCGTGAGCTTACGAGCAGGAGCATGTGCACCCGACGGCGGACGGACATACAGACATGGCTAGCCGCTAAGGAGCTTCGCCCCTAAAAAGTCGTTGAGCGCGCCGGATTGCCGTGGAAGAAGCTTGGTTTGTCTTGCAACCGTCGCTGCGCCATCAATGTTGGGGAGCAAAAGCGGTCTTGTTGGACGACTGAGGAAGAAACTCACGGAACTTGGTATCGTTAAGCAGTTTGCAGCGGTTCCATTGCATTCTTCACGCGCGCACAAAAAAAGAAAAAAAAAAAAAAAAGGTTTTTGATGTCACATCTTTTAGGGTGTAACTTGCTTGTCCCGGGAGTTCGTCTCAAAAGGTTAGCAAAGTTACCCCTTCCGGTAGGCAGCAACTTTGCACCCTATGTCAGGGTGCACCTGCGCTCCCTTGCGGAGACAACCTTATCTCTAATCGGGAGCAATAATAGCCTTTATGTCAAGGGTGTAATTTTACTTCCATTAAGAGGTAATAGGGCATAGTTTTGGGCCAAGACCCCCCGTCCAGGAGTCTCGGCCCTTGTGGTATCGAATTTTGTCTATGTGGCCCGCTTCCCGAGATGAGTTTGAAACCACTGGTTTATAACCGTTGCGGAAAGCGTAGCGGAGTATGAAAAACGGTCTTCGAAAACTTCCTAGTAGAGCAGCGCAGGGTCGCAGCATTCGTAACAATCCTGTGCGTGTGATACCATCGGCGGCTAACCCAATCGGGTGCAGTGAATGCGCTGTAATCATACCCCTTTTGCGTAAGATCACGGCTACCGCCAAGCAACATTGGGGCACTTTACTGCACAATTGGATCGGCGTCAAAACTGCAGCTTGGTCGGCGAGATTGTTGAGCGAACGTATTACCGACTTTACAGCGCACAAACATCACACACACACACACTAGTATTTAGGACAAAGACAGCATATATCACACCTCGCTGGACCAATACACAAAATTATCCCCAATTATCTCGTTGTGGCCAATACACAAACATTTTTGCAATTATCATTGTGGCGGAAACTATTTTTTTTCTAGCAAGGTAAGATACTATGATGGAGTACTGGTACACAGGGCCGTCCCTAGCGAAGGAAGGGGGGGGGGGGGGGGGGGGGGGGGGGGCGCCACTGCTGACACATTTATCTGTTACGTGTGTATGTTGTGTGTTTGTCCTAAATACTATAGTGTGTGTGTGTATGTGTGTGTGATATTCGTGCGCTGTGAAGTCAGTAATTGCATAGCCGCGGTAGCTTGCCGCTCCTCTCTTTCGCGTCTTTACCGCTAGATGGCGTTGTCTCCCCTGAATTTGCGAATAGCCTTTGTCTGCGCTGACTTGCGATGAAACGAAGCGCACATTCCCAATGCCAAACACGGCAAACCACTCAACCCCGTCGACTCCGTGTTTACTTTCGTTACCTAACACTCAAAAAAAAAAAAAAAAAAAAAAAAAAAAAGAGGTTGGGAGTTTGGCATTGGTTCTAGTGCAACTTTTTTTCGTCTGCTTCGCGCCTAACCCCTTACCAGGCCCTTGACACCCCAAAGGTGTTGGCTAGACCGCGACTATGTCGATCTATTCTTGACACTTCGCTAAACTAAGAAAGCAACCGCTACCGAAAAAAAAAAAAAAAAGAAAAGAGCGAGCCAAAGTTAACAGCAGCAGCAAAAAAAGTGGGCCAGACATCGTAAAATAAAACGAAATGTTTCCTTGACGTTTGAAACATTCCCCTGGTATCCTGCCAGGTCAAGAAGGTCTGGCGTCAGTCATACGATCAGTTCACCTCTAAGCTGACAGTACCGAGGAAGCTGCGCGCTTGCCGGACCAATCAGCTGCCTCCCTTTCATCGCTTGACCTCGCTCTTTGCGCTTGGCTATGGGCCAAAGCGTGATCACGTGGCACAAGGTAGACGCTGGACTGGTCCTGCGTGCACGTAGGTTTAACCGCGCTGTCAGCTTTGAGGTGAACAGAGTGGAGCGGCGCTCCTCGTTGACACAAATCGGTTAGGCCCTTGATGGGCGTTCGAAGCGTCGCGTCACAGCGTCTGCTGTGACGTCAGTCCGCCACGATTGCGCATGCGCAGTTCAGTATGGGTTTCAACGTGAACGCTTTTGCGCGCTTTTCTGATGACACTGATTTGTCAGCCTGATTTTCGTTTTTTTTTTTTTTCTCTCTCTTAACGGCATTCTAGTCCGTTACTATTTGTGTGCACGTTGGCAGTATTATAAGGCAGTAGGTTAAGAAATCTCCTGTCATGATATCGCCTCTTATTGAGAATTAAAGTCAAGTTTTGCTTTTGTCGCAGCAGCCCTTGAGTTCCTTATTGCCGCTAGGGATTTGATCCCGATTCTTATCGCCAGACGTGGTAAGATAGATAAATTTATTTGATTTCAGAAAATAAAACTCTCATACAATCCTGCCCGCTTAAGCGTATAGGTACGGTTGAATGCGGGACATGGCAGTACAGACATTTTCATCATGTAGACACAAATGATGGTTAAATGTAAGTAAAACATGCCAGAAACATTCAAAATAACACATTAAACAACGAATTTTACGCCCAAGTAGAAAATTCACCTGTGAAGTAACACCCAGTTCGACAATAACAATCAATCAACTGTTACAAAAGAAACATTGTGAATTTAAACACATAATGACAAGAATCAACACGTATATAACGAGACACACTCGATAGAAAACACTAAGCTTTTACGCAATACCTCATTGTTCAGAATTTCAGTTCGACAAAAAAAAAACACCACTCATTTTTTTTTTTTTTTTTTTACAGGGTGTTACAAAAGAAAATTTACACGGTCTTTTTTACCGCAAAAATAAACTAGACATCGCCGAACGCTCATTCTCCGCCCAAAGGTAGAGCTAGAGGTCACAACCAGATGCCAAAGTTTCAGCCCGATTCGATAACTTAATCAAAAGTTATAAGTGATTTTCTGA